TCGTCGAAAAAGTCGAGACCTCGACCACTGCGCTTCCACTTCGAGGGTATTCGCAAACTCCCTCCTATCATTGCATTCGACGAAGTCGCCTTCTCATACTCGGCAATCCTGAAGATTACTTGTACAATAATTGTATGGAGTACGTCTTTTCTTTCTACCTTGGGTCTTGTCCAGCTCACTCGTATGTAGTATGGACTCTTGTGTAGCCATCCTCGGTGCAAACGGTGCCGGAAAATCGACACTTCTCAACCTCATCACTGATGTCCTACAACCCTCTCGAGGCACTACTTCCAAGCATACTGCGCTCAAACTCGCCAAGTACAGCCAACACAGCGCGGACCAGATATCACACGACAAGAGTCCGATTGAGTCCCTCCTCTTGCTTTTCCACGAGAAGCACCCGAGAAGGACGTTGTGGCGTGAAGGCAGCAACTACGACTTCATAAATTTGTATGTGGGAGTATTTGGTGTTACATTGTATCGTGCATGTGTCCAGTATGGGCAGCCACTTAACTTCATTCTCGGCCTCTTGGAACTTCCATCCCTCTTCATGCGTACGGTCTGATACTCATAAGCCCATTCAGAATTTTATAGTTTTAACCCAGCTTACCTAGAAGCGCTAACGCGCACCTCTGAGTCCCAGGAGACACTCCAATTCCTCTATCTCCATCTCGAAAATCCGGCGCTCTCTCGCAATCCACAGCACCATCATCGCGCGCATTTCGTCTGACCAGACCGGAGGCAGCGGATAGGGTTGAAATGGTAAGTTGGGGTTGTAGAGTTGTTGACGCACGCGGTTTCGCGCGGCTGCCCATGTAATATACATCAGTTCCTTCAACAAGGTCAGTGTTGTGGCTCACTGATGAATGCGTCACTCACCACCTGTCTTCCGGACATCGTGAACGTCACGTTCCGAGGCCTCGGTGCGAGTTGCAAAAGGTGTCCGGGAATCTGTCGAATATCGGTGAGTAGCGAATGGTTTTTTTTAATCCTCGACGTACCTGGTGATCTCGGTCTTGGTCTTGGTCTCCATTTTGGTTTCTGACTCCTCCGTCAACATCAGAATTGTTATTCATACTGGTACTAGAGTAGTAGATATGAAAATCCAATTCAGATTGATCACCCTCGTCGAACGTTGAGTTAGCGCGTTTGAGAGAAATGTCCCGATTTGGGCAAAATATGTCTCCGGCATTTACCGGAATAGTATATGTCACGTTGGATCGACAAAACTTGAGCGTCCATGGTATAACGGTTGAATGTCGCGTATCCCGAATTTATTTACCAGGAAGCTCCTGAGTTCAATTCCTCTGACAGTTATTATTTGGTCTGTTTCTTTTTGTGTCTCTAACGCAGAACATTTACTACTCAAATGCCAAAACTATTGGAGGAATGCATTTAGTCGCCAACACCGACACCTGGTTGAAAGGCGTAGTCTATCGAAAAGTCATAAATAACCTTATAGTTGAAACATAACGAAAGAAAAATAAGTACACTCAGAAAACGTATGCACTTCACGCTACTGGCCCTTACAGGCAGCAATGGTACATTGTCACAACATTGTCACAAACTCGCGTGTTAATCTAGATTTGGTGACCAATGTGAACACCACGTTCCACGAGAAAGTCTTGTATAGACATATAATTCACATCATAAATATTGAAGAATGAGAATGTTCAAAAAGGGAGACACACTTACGCTACCATCTCTTGCCGGCCGTCACGCTACGACGTCACAACCTTATCATCAACTCCTCGCGATAATCTAGATTTGCAGACATTAATGGCTATGTACCAACAACTCAGATTTATCGCAGTAGACATAGCAATATTTACCTAGAGCAAAATTGTATCCTTCTATAGTTCTCACGGCTACAATATCACGGACTCATGAATTCACTGATGCGTTGCACCACGGCTAAAGACTGTTATTTGTGGTATGTATGAGCCTGATGAGCCTGATACGTACTTCAAATCTCCACATTCCAGATCTTAGTTGACACGGACCACCCAACCTCTCAGTAGCCTGCGACTGTGCTCTAGTTCGATCCGAGGGACTCGGAAAACATCTCTGGCATTCTATTTGTGCTACTGGCGGTCGTGACTTCCTAACGTTATCTCCTTGAAGAGTTTTTCACATACAGTAACTACTCTTCAACGTGGTTGACATTCTAGGCTCGGGACCAGCCTGACTTATATAATCACGGAGTCCCAAGTTATAGCCACGTGACCTCACATCAGTCTGGATACGACTCACGAAGAATCTTCATTTACATCAAGCAACTCCCTGGCTGCATAATACCTCTCGTCGACACTAAGAGACCGCACGACCTTGCTGAGCCGCATAGACAGCTGTCCGAACACTCAACTTCAGACGAATCGTTTTGTTAATTGCATATGTATCGAGGGTATCGCCACCAAGCATACCCACATTCAACGCTTTCTATGGCCGTCCATTATGACCAGAATTCTTTGGTTTCTAACACCGATTCCTCACGCTTGCTGATATCGGATCTCCATGACATTTGGCGACGTTAATTCTCAAGAAAGACCGATACAACAGCGAATAGAGTTGACACGGGACACACTGACACCGGAATGTTGTCAATCCAGTCATGAACGTACTTACATGACACAAGATGTTGTCAACGCATGATGAGTACAGCCAACGTCAGTAACAGTGAGCTTGATCCTATACTATACTGGCGCCTACACACTCCTGGCTTGGTCACCGTAGTTCCGCCCGGAAAAATGATTTGTTACAGGCTTTGACCCCACAGAGTCGCCCAACTCGATTGGGAAAAGAAAAGAAGGTCAAGATGGCACACTTTGAAGATCTGATTATCCAAAGTAATATCCTATAACCCTGAGATATGGAGGGCGGGCTTCATTCGAAGACAGGTACGAGAATCGATCACGAGAATGGAGTGCGGTAACAGAACCTTGATGGAACGCAACGATGTCAAGTCGAAAACCACGCCGCAGCTGTAATGGTCCGATACGAGGATGATACGCGATGACACAGACCGCATGCCAGTGAATCAAAACAGAATGCAGAATGCACGCACATATATGGAGCAACGATATCGACAGGGGGTCCCGCACTGTATGTACTCCGACTCACCGTGGGTCAGGCCTCAGGCTCGGCGATGCCGATTGATCCAACTCAACCGCATTTGTGAGAGTCCGGAAACACCCTCTGAGAAATCGCTCATTTTTATGTCAAATATTATTGGGTTTCAATAGATTTCGAGCGAATCTCCTAGGGGCAGGAGACGGGTGAGATCCGTCCGGCAGGTCAACTTTATGGATCATGAAGTAGCATAATACGCCGCGTTTTGTTTATTACCGTGGCGTCCTATCGGTGGCGGGGGAATAACTTTTTGCATGAATGGTCTAGAGAACGTAGAGTGTGAGTATGATCAGCATGACAGTGCCACAGGCGCCCTTTCCTTTTGAGAAATTTGTCCCTCATCCAAGACCTCGACAAGGGAACATCACGCCAATATTTTGATTTCTATCAAACATGTTGTCGCCACTAGCATACATGGAGAACCTCTAAAATAAACGCAGCTATTGAAACAACAGATACTGAATAACACTGAGATCCGTCCGGTGGGCCAACAAGCCGGCGCATGTGCGCCGTGACCACGCTTCGAGTAACGATACACATAGTTATCGCCGCAGGATGTGGCGAACCTTGTGCTGCATGAGGAAAGGCGAGCACTCGTGGTGGAGTTGGCGAGGAAAGGGCTAAAGCTAGATTGGAAAGCCCTTCTTCAGCTACTCAGGAAAAGGCTTCGCACCCAGACCATGATCAAATCAGAGAATTTGATTAAGAGTCCGTATGTCGAAGTCGAATATAATTATTGTTCGTCTATACTTAGAGGAACACTTGGAGCGTGTGCCAAGTCCCCGCGGGGTAGGGGGGTTATATTGCGAGCTCTAGAAATTTATCAGTTGTCAGCTAATCTCCGAAACATACGAATGAATTAGGCCCACCCCAGACGAAGACGCATGAGGACGGTACTTCGAATGTAGCCATGACGTCTCATGAAACTCGCTTCGGAGTTTTTGCGGTGGGAAGTTCATTATCGGCGCCTCGTCCTGCTGCGCTTGCAGTTGTTGAGCACATGGCTTCTAGGACGGCGGCGGCGGTGGGGGAAGTGAATTAGACCCTGGCACACAATGTTGATATTGATTACCAACCGCGGAAACTCACCCATGACTTGCCGGGGGAAAATCATCTGCTGAGTGAAGAGAGAGGATCTGGAGAGGCACATGTTGTAGCCGCTCTAGTCCGAGCCTGAGCCTGGGATACTCGGACAACATAGTCCATTGTGCAGAAAGTAGCAGGACTGGCTTGGAGACTCCCGGAGATCAACCTCTTGACCTCCGAGTCTCATACGTGCCAGGGCTTTCAGGGAAGATGGGAAAGCCTCGTGGTAACAGCTCGATCGAAATATTTACTCACGATACGAATCGCGACCGTGACGGAGGATGTGGTGGTGCAAGTCTTGCTGAACATCGTGCGGCTGTCACGGTGTTTCACAAAATGTCAACGATACCTACGGTTCCGGTTACTATCATGCTATGCCTGTAGCACTTGCTCCTGCACCTGTTCAATACCAAGAATCAAGAGACTTTAACGCGTCAAAAAAACACTATTAGACACGTATCCTAAATCTATCCGAGAGGCCTGTTATACATGATTTAGACAGGGAATCTTTGAACAGTGTAGGAAATAAATGCGTGCGGGCTAGTATATATGCATGCAAGGGAATAAGGGATGTCGATGATCAAATACAGTCTTATGAATATAAAACAAATAAGAGTAGAAGGATGACAATGTTATAGACATCGACTGCCTCTCCGAACCTGCTCGGGCTGTCAGTATGTAAGGACCTGGAAGTCAGCCATCGTGGAAGGACTACGAGAGCTCCTCACAAGCCCTCGATGCCTTCAAGCATCCCTACCACGACCCGCCCGACCCTTCCATCTCTAATCGCCTCACAAATGACCGAAATCCCATTCCCAATCGTTCCATCCTCACCCTCTAGGCCATCCCGCATCCCAAACACATCCCCCCTAAGATTTCCAGCCCCGTGCATTCGCACGCCAAGTGTCACTCTCACAAACTCGTAGAGTGCACGCGTTCGAGACGCGAGGTACTTGCTTGCTGGGGTGGGCCCGCGCCATGCCACCCCCGTCTGTTCAGCACTCGGGCTTGCACCGCGCACCGCGAACGGCTGTACGCCAAGATACGCGCACCGTAACTCCGTCAGCTTGTTCACCAGCCCCGCAGCAACGGATGTAATGAACACCGGGAGTGCGCTCAGCTCTGCGCCTTGCACTGGAGAGGTCGAGAGGGCTGTGACGAGCGGTACTACGCATGCGCTTGCAACCTTATACATCCGTGCGTTTGTCTCGAGCGTTGTTGTGTGATCGAGCGTCTCTGTGAGTGCTGGGATGATAGCTACTACGAGGGAGGTAATTGTCATGTTATCAGTGAGCGAAGGGAAGGTGTTGAGGAGGGATGAGCGGATGAGTCCTGGGAGCGCCTCGTGCAGCTCCTCGCCGAGTGCACGGAGATCGAGTGCCTGGCATATCACCATGAGGTGTGATGCAGCGAGAAGAGTGGACACTTCGAGTGCAGTGAGAGTGTACCGTGCTGAGATGAGCGCGAGTGAACTGTAGGGTTGAAAAGGTTAGTTAAGGAAGGAGAGAGAGAAAAAGGATGTACTTGACACTCTGATTGTGCATCTCAGCGCTCACATTGCCCACGCCAACGTTCATTCCACCAAGCGCATTTAACTCGCCCACATATGACGCAGCGGCGATATCAACACCCTGTCCGCGTAATTGCAATAAGCCATCCCATCGACTACAACCAGACCAAAATCACGCACCTTGAACGCGAAATCCAATCCGACCTCTCCACCCGCCAAATTCGGGAACAAGCCCCGATTCATTGCCGGGTTCACAATCTCCGTAAGTTGCACGAACATCAGCTTCCCAATGTGTGCGAGGCTGAGACGGACGTGGTCCATCGCGTTCGTCAGGGCAAGTGCTTGGAAGTTCCCTGCGTGGTGAACCTGTCCGGTCTGGTTATTCGACGCGGAAGGGGGCTCAATGAGCGGGTTATCGGTGGCTGTTGAGGTAAAGGATGAGTTGGTATGTGGCTACGGGGTTGGGACGACCTACTGGAGTTAACCTCAGTCGTGACTACTTGTGCTGCATTTGCGAGGTCCTCAAATTGAGGACCGAGCCATTGGGGGGCTGTGCGGAGAGAGTAACTGCGGTAGTTTAGCGTTCAGTTTTGGTAGGACTAAGGAGATCAAAACTTGCCGATCCTGTCTCAACACCCCAGCATCATCCTCAATCTTGACTTCTACCTCATGTTCACTCGCAAAGGAAGATCCGGCGAGCAGAGCGTGCATGAGACGCGCGGAATGAATCTGGATTGAGCCACCAGGGAATTGTGAGTGTTTGCAATGTGAAAAATGCATTGTGTTTCGCAAGATAGTCACCACAAGAAAACGAAAAAAAGGAAGAAAAGAATCAGCTCTATTAACCGCGTGAAAAATCCGAAAAAAACGCACCTGTCCAATGTGCGGCCTTGCCTCGCTAACGAAGGGATCAAAGCTGCCCCTTGCGCCGAGCATCGCTTCAACGGACATGGCCGTTAGGACCTATAACCGCAGACAAGTCAGTCCGATGCAGGACGCGAAGGTCAAGCATAAAAATACTCACAGCACCCAACACGCTCACTCCTCGTGCGCCTCTCACAACCAGTGCACTCACAGCTGCACTAAATGCCGTGCCATTCAGGATACCCAAGTGCTCCTTGCTTGAGAGCGGGAGGGGGGTGATGCCGGCGACCTGCAAGGCCTGTGGGGCAGGAAGGAGTGCGTATGATCCGTAATTGTCCACTTTGAGAGTATCTGTAGGTAGGTTAAGGGTATCGGCTGAGGGTGGGAGGGGGGTGGACGCAGAGAAGGGAGACAATTCGGGTGAGGAGTGCGGCGAAGATGTTCCGGTTGACAAGGGGGTTGAGGAAGTACTGGATATGGCTGAAGAGGGGTGGGGCAAGGGAACCCAAGCCCTGATAGCGGGGTTTCCAATGAGTGTTGCAGCGATGTAAGAAAGGGAAGACAGGTCTGTGAGAAGGGAGTTGATTAGGACCTCAGCAAGGTAAAGAACAAGAAACAGATTACTCACCTCCACTGGCACTGACGCTGCCTCTCATAGGAACGACTGGAGTAATACCTTTGTTAAGGAGCTCTGTCATTTTCTGGACAAGTTCCCAGCGGACACCACTGTGTCCGCGCATGAGACTGTTAGCGCGAACAAGGAGAGCAGCACGTGTCCAAGGGGGTGGCATTGTAGTGCTAGTGAATGGATCAGAGAGCGGTGCGGGGGAAGGAAGAGCGTTGCTATTGAAAGAAGAGAGGGTAGGGATAGCAGTAGAAGAACTCGGTGCGTAAGTAGGGAGAATGACGCCAGCATGCTGGTGCTGGAGGAGAGCAGCACCGAGTGCAATGGGGTCATCTGTCCTTGTGTCCGCGCTGCCACCAAACCCAGTACTGACACCATAGACACTGATGCCTGCTGCAACCTTACTCTCGATGACAGCACGGGAGGCAGATACTTTTGCTTTGACATGTTGGTCATCAGTAAGTTGGATTTTAATTGAATTACTGCCAGCAGATGAAGGTGGGTAAAGCGCAATAGCAGCAATTTGAGAAAGGGACAAGGTAGACCCAGTGATGGTGATCGGTGATCCTGTGCTGTAGGAGGAATGAGTACTAGAAGTACCTGAATGAATAGGATTAACATACAGGTAGGAGTCGAGCTCCTTGACGTCCTGGACATATTGGGAGACGAGAGCGTGAGTGGCCATTGTGTTAATGTCTAAGATGAATGAGGATGAGAGTTATGAGTGCTGGCAGGTATTAAGTGGTTTATATAGCTCTGTCGGTCCGAGTTAGAATGCAAGCTTCAGAACGGATACTTGCTGGGTTTTATATTTCTCTTCGAGCGGCGTGATCCGCCCGTGAAAAATTGAAGCAGTTGCACTTTCTTGTGAACAGGTTTAACTGGCATGACACAGTATGTGACACAGCACTTTAAATGTAGACGCTCACAGGATCGAGATCCATACCGTTCTCTTCGCGACCCCCCCTCTGGGTTGACCCCTCTGGGGGGTCAACTCAATCTATGATCCGTGCCAGCAACGTTCTTACTGTCACCGTGGTACTAGTTCAAAGTTCAATTGAAACCGTGATTATGGAAGGTACTATCACCATACTTTCGCGGGAGAACCGTATACTAATGGTACCCGTGACGGATGTCCATATGATACAAACGTTCAGTTGAACGTAGCATGATCCTCGTAATCTGGCTTCAGCCTGTCGCACCAGCGAAATCATAACCCTGAAACTATCATGTTTCCCGGGTAGTTCGCAGTATCCGTCCTACTTCTCAAATGTCCTCCGATTCCAAAATACAGATAGGCTAGTACGTACTACTACCATTCGCGATCTCCTTCTTCATTTCCGAGTTGTGCAGAAGCTCAATCTGATTCGACGACGCTGAAACGAACGCTCTTCTAAGCCACGTCCTCAATTTGCTGGTTTTCAGTTTCACTCATGTTTGGGTTGTTTCCTGCGATATCCGCAGTTGACCCGTTGGCCTATTCCCATCCCATGTCACAGGCTTTTGGGGCAAGCATGCATAATCAAATTATCTCCACTTATCTCAATGATGCTGCCAGGGTCATTTTTGTAGTTATCCTTTCCCGAGGACGCTAAACCTACGCAGCTGTGACCCTTCTTTCTTATCTTATCTGTTGTATTGTACTGTCTGATCTCCCAATGCAGTCGGCACGTCTATTCATCAAAGCTTACTCGTAAGCAAATCTACGAATCTCACTTATGGATAGTACATACTAACTTGAAGTATACCAAAGCCTGGGTTTCTAGGTCCCTAATGTCATTCAGTCGGCAGAGACCCCATTTTTCGTTTCCCCTGGTAGCAGTCCACCCAATGATTCAAGTCATACATCTATTGTGTTAGGTAATCTGATTATCGACCCTTCACTCCCACTCGCAGGCATACTAGTATCTTCAACGTCGCGTATAACCAACTGAATCAAGTTCCATCCGTTCTGGCATAAACTTCTACCTGCCGGCACTTGTTTCGAGTCTCAGTCGGCGCAAATACATCGTCTTCTGAAGTAGAATTCTCAGAACACCCCAGCCGGTTTCAGATTTGAGATTGCTGAGGATCTTCCATTCGCCTCCTAAGTCCTGCGCCCCGAGCTGCGTCCCGAACATGCTTGCTCGGGGCGGCATGCGAGACCGATTAGTAAGTCCCCCATGAATTTAACTTGATCCAATCTAGTAGTGCTACGTACTGCTATCAGATGCCATTTCATACATAACCCGTATTGGCTCGTCATTGGCAGAACGGTAACTTGTCACTAGCCCCAGAGCGCCGTATTCTGCCATTCGTTGGTGGTCATTCCCCGCCTTTTTATCGGTACTTACCGCGGACTAGCCTTCGCGCAGGCTTTTCAGTATTACTCTAGACTTCTTGCGCCCACTCGGCTACACTACCAACCGATTGCGATAATGTATGTCAGATTGATGAGTCGTGGGAAGTGGCTGCGGCCGTGTGTGTGAAGCGTTCTAACAAACTCTCATTATCTGCTAATATTAGGCTGCGGGTCGCCGATCAACACCCTCTATCACGTCACGATCGGACGAACCGTATTATAGTGTCCTCGTGTTCGAGGCCTGCAACAAAGCTTAACGGTCAAACGTTTCAGAACAGGACAGGCAGATTACAAGGACAATACGTTACCCAGTCGTCACCACCACAGGTGTGTGGTGCACAGGAAACTTTAAAAATAGGTTGGTCAACGGAATTGTCATTGTGGTAGGTTAGACTGGCACATTGTTACCCGAAATGATTACCGCATCAGGTCATCATGTAATCAGAATTCGGCACAGGATCAGGTTAGCGCTTGTTCTTTGTCTTCGCAGTGATAGCACTTCAGTAATTGACTGCATTAATGAATACAGGGACTTCGTTTGCGGTCGCAATTGTAGGTGATTCGAATGTTTAATATCTGATAACAGACCTCGCGTTCTATGCACGTCACCTGTGCCATGGCTTGGACCCTCGACGTCACTTTTGCAGGACCGAGTATTCCACCAGTTTGTAATGACAGCCCAAATCGCGAACTATCGTATCTTCACATCGTTCGCTCGGTATCGCCGCAGATCCCTGCCACAATCCTCATCCTCGGTATCGCATCAAGGATACATCCATGCGTCTTCTTACCAATTGGTCTGCATCCATCCCAAAGTGTTGCCGTTAGCTACACGGACGCGGCGAGAAACATAGATGATCATGATTACACAGCAGCACCACCCACGACGCTCGCTCAACGTGGCAAGGGAACCCATGCTTCAATTTTCAACTTCAATTCGCTTAGATACCTAAACGTGTCGCGCAGTGCTGAACTTGGGAGCAGCTTGAGTGTCAACTCGGTATCATGCTTCTCGTCTACCGTCATTAATGAGCCACTGCAACGCGACGAGAAACGTGGATAGCGGGACCATGTATACCACAATACCACAGCAGTACCATGCACAGCGTTCGTTTTCGTTCACCGTGACACGCGATATGCCGGGCTAGGTCAACCTTCAGCTTTATTTTGAAGTCGTTAGATCTGGGAGAACGAGTCGCTTGGAAACCTAAAGCAATGTCGTTCATGGTTCAATAGTCCTGCAACTTTGAAATTGTACACCGAAAGCAGTGTCGGCCCGTTCTTTCTTCAGTATGTTTGAACGCCGGCGTCGCTATGCGAGTCATTTGGAAGTTCGTCGAATCATTATCACCAAGAGTTATCGACCTACGGCCGCGTCTTTTCCGTTTCAGAACATATTTCAGGCTAGAAGGAGCTCTGCGTGATATCGAAACACCAATCTCCGAGATCAAAGGTGGTGGCTCTGCCTGCCACTGATCTCTATTTTAGCAAAACGTCTAAATTCCCTTTCGGTGTCTTTCAAATACAGAGGGAAGGCCCGTCCTACCAAAGCTCTCATACATATCATCTTCACACAGGACAAGATTCCCCGTGTTTGCAGGTACGTATCTCTGCATTGCGATTGGGCACTCCTGACGTCACGGGCAGCCGCTATCAATATGGACAATGCTCTTCAACTCCGTACATACACCGTTCCATCGACATCGCCACCTCGTTCCGCGCTTGCGTGTTCCTGGCCGTGTACATCGCCTTTTCCCAAAATGACATTTGCTGTGACTAGGAATCGTCGCGTGTGGTGCTCGTTTCATGGGCGGCAATCACATTTCTGTCAGTGACCCCCCTTTCAAATATTGTCTGGACAATGTCTTTTCACAAGGCAGTGCACGTGTCTGCGGGTTTTAAAGGGACTGAAAGGCTTCAACAGCAAAGGCCAAGCAATGGAGTTGGTTTCCTTGTATCTGATTATCCATATGGCCTGGCAATCAATCAACATGCCTCGGATCTGTCCTGTCACGATGGCCGGTATAGAAATACTGCAAAGCTTGGCAGCATCTTTGTCGCCAGACAGTTCTCCCCTGTCACCCCTGTATTCTCCCTCATCTCTATCAATGACTCATTTCACACGTCGGGCTCCAGAATCCAGAATATCAGTCAATTGATTATGCACGCCAAGACGGGCAGGTACCTGCCTACACTTGCACATCACCTAGCAAAGTTGAGTCATCTCTCTGGCTATTCGCTAAAGTTCTTGCTTTGTGATGTAACACAACAGCCATGGCAAGGTTTAAGCCTAAACGAGTCATCCTTGAATATATGGCCGGCAACACCGTCGGTCCGGAGCGTGATTCGGAGACTTACAGGATGCGAACTCCTTGGTTAATTCAATTGTCAACTATGTGAGGGACGATAAGATACGGCGACGGCAATAAGTTATTCGCGACGCATTCATCGGTACCGATCCGAATATTTTCAAGAAAGGGCCGAACATCAATGCCACCTAGGGCTGTCTAAATACTACTTATACATCGAACCTAGTCGCATAAAGTATGAATGTATCCATGTTATGAAATGATATGTTAGTGTAGGTATCTATGTATCTATATGAGGTACAGAAGGAGCAGGTACAACGAAACAAACCAAATATCGTGGTAGTATACCAATGGTGAAGGTTCCAAGCCGTATGAGCAAGCGAATCCCCAGTGAAAAGTATTGCCCTTGCTGACAGGAAGCCACCAGGGCTTCATATCCTGACTTTCCACAGTGCAGCTTTTTTCAAGCTCGAGTTTGTTCTCAGTAAGCCATGCTTCTCCACGAGCAAACATGTCCCTGTCAGGGAACACTTCGAGGATCTCACAGAGAAAACCGTCCGTCTCAAGTGTATACGTTCTGCGGAGTTCCCGCTTGCCACCAACGACCTGTGCCTGAGCGTCAAGGAGGGTAAATTGTGGGTGACGAAGCATTTTGCGGAACGTCTGGCCAATAGGATATTTGTCGTCAAGGAATAGACGTTCGAAGTCAGGGTTTGTGATGGTGACATTCGATGTAGCGGTGCAAACGATTCGCGAAGCACATACGAGATGTACCTGCCGCGATTGTGTTATGGGATGCTCGGGTGAAGCTGGTTTCAGCCGTGGCGAGCCATTGGCGTACACAAGCTCAATAAATATAGGCCGAGCAAAGAACGAACTGCAAAAGGAGTTCATTCATTAGCACACATTACTGTGCCTAAACAAATTTCACATACCTCATCAGTCGCTGCAGATCACCTTGAGCTGCAAGCATGATACGCTCAAGGCCAGTGGTATCCTCGGGGATGCATGACAACTGTAGAGGTGTTGGCTCAGATACGTTCAAAAGCGCGACGATAGTATTGTTACCTCTACGTGCGTAGACGCGCTGTTAAATGAGTCCTTGCTGATCATTATGGCGCGTGCTGTACAAGGAGTGGATGAAAAGAGGAACAAATGGCTTGGTAGGAGGGACTAGGCTTATAAGGCTCTCGGACTCCCACAGTACGACACGGAGGGTGAAGAAATTTGAAATGAACTTCTTCTCTTCACTTCCAGCGCGGGCGGAGCCAAAAGGCAGTGTGATAAGTGAAGCGAAGGACCTTGGTATTTGTGTTACAAAGCCTGTCTTGATTACTCGGTCGCGATTTGCGAATAGCCTGTTATCAACTCAACATAGTTTTATTGTAACTTACGTGAAAACATGAGAACCTTTTACGTGCTTGATGATGATATGGGCGGCGCGCCATACAACTTGTACGACAACAGTGACTTCTTATCAGCTGCCTATAACGTTAAACGCAATTAATATATCGACCGTCATATGTGTGTTAGGTCACCCATGTCACATAACCCGGTTCGTGTGTCCCGTACAGCGACTATTCGAAAAAAGTTAGAATTCGAAGAGACGTGAAGAAGGATCTACTAGTGAGTGGCGAAGGGTTGATCTAAATTAGGGCCAATCCAGAAATATCATTCTAGTGGCTGACTTGTTGAACCGTACTTTGGATCTGGCAACATGTACGCTCAGAAATGCGGAGGCTGGAAGGGCAAGATTGCGATTATCTGGAAGCTGCCAGTGAACGTGCATTCTCACTCCACAAGGTCGCAGGCGACTCAAAGTTTCGCTTCCACTATGGCAGCCGCCTGTACTCCTCATGGCTGCAATATCTCGGATGTGGAGACTAGCACGCAGATAGGCTTCTACACTCGACCTGCAGCGCAATATAATATGATCAGTGTTTATGAGTAGGTACGCCTGGGTTTCTGGACATCATCGTGTTTGCAGCCACTTGCAAGTTGTTGCATGATGCTGTATACAGCTTTCAGCCAAAGTTCAACCAAAGTTGTTCCTGCCCAGTCCTGTCACGGCGATTCTAAAGAATCCGTCTTTTCTCAGCGGCATGTTTCATCGCCCCCTCGGTGTTCTCATCGTGCCATCCTCTTCGGATCCTTTTTCGGTAGGATGAACTCTTATCTTTAACTTCATTTCATGAAAAACGTCACAGATCTCAAGATATACTACGCAATCCTCCAGGCTCCGATAGACCGCCAGCAATTGATGTGAGTCCATTGTGCAGATCAAACAAGGTAATATATATGGCTCATGGCTTGTAACTGAAGTTGTACAACTTGGCACCTGGTGTGGTAGGGCCGCATACCACCTCAAATCTTGATTGATCACTGGCTGTGCCTAGCACAACCAACCATCTATCTATTAATCTCCTGTTTATCTTGTGCCTCGTCGGACATGCTATATTCTACGTAAGTTCGAGGCACGAAAACGCACGTAGAATCAGGTCTACGCGGCAACATAGCTTTTCGTGCCTTCACCTTTGCCGCTTCGTACCGCCCCCACTCCCTCTTAGCCAGAAATTACTGTTTATACGCTGAGTCGTCTCAATATTCTTTATCAGAAGGAATAACTGTCTTCCTTTGTCTATAAAGGTTCGCCTAGGGGAGACTACTCAACATCAGTCTCCGATAGTCAGATAACGAGCCCTCGCCCGTTGTGCCTTTGGCACAGGAAGCCAAAGGACCATCTCGCACTCCTTTGGAGGCGCCTGCAGCGCCTTGATGTTTTTGGTGATTGTCGCATACTGACACGTTCGGGGGCACATGTGGGAAAAGAATGCGAAGCACAGGAATCGTACAGGTACCGTCCTCGCGAATTACTCAAGGATTACCGAGATCAAGTGCGTCCTGTTGAAAACGTGATAGACCCTACCTATTCTGCAACGCAATTTTCTTCGCATTCGAGCCGGACGTCTGCTCACTTAAGAGAACGTGTTTGAGAAACTGAGAACCTAAGTAAGAAAGAGTGCTTTGATTGATGTTACACAATCCAATTTATAATATTTGCCATAATGAATCGAACTTCAAGTGAAAATGTGGGTAGTTGTATACTCAGCTGAGCGGGGGGTGGAGTGGCCAGTGTCTCTATCGATATTTGACATGGGTGTGCCGGCGGTAGAAGGCAATAAAATTTATGAATTGCCGAAGCAACCTGCTGAAGTTTGTATGACGAATTTGAGTACTGAGTTGCAACACGCTTCGTAATAAAGACAAAGACACGCGAACATCGTGGATCAAATTCATTTCGTAGATTCAATACGCCTGACAACAGATGAAATTATACACGATAAACGATAAACGATTTCTATCCGCTGACTATGCTACTGATGTAGCTCGAGCACCATCATGTAGTAGGTGTCTCGTCAGCTCATTGAACATATGAAAGGTACGAAACACATGAAATCAGGAACGTGGATGGAGATGTTGTAGATGCGCAGGTAAATCAAAGTACGCTGAGCTTTGCCGGCCGTTGGATTGTCTGTAAGTTCCCTAGATTTACCCTGCCAAACAGCACCAACTAGAACTAACTCAGCACAGCTCATCATATCAGACAAAGAGCTAGGATCGGGAAATTGTAGCCAGGTGCCAAGCATGCAAGTGAACTTGGGAGAGAGTCGAATGCTAAGACGGCAGGCTGAGCGATGCAGAAACGCAAATAACCCTCAGCCTCACGTGTACAGTCGTTTGCCTTAAAAAGTTCACCCTTTGATTTGGACGCAACGATACTATTTGCGCATATTTGGTGGGTGTCGTACCTCCACCGAAACCTCTAACCCTAACCACAACAGTCATTGTCACACTGCCGATCGGACGCCAAGCCTCAACTTGAACAATTGTATCTACTCCGTTTGTTCCCCTTTGAGCTGATAGTCTTCATTCTTAGGGCTTGTGACGTCCCGATGCTAGTCGATATCGAGCGCGGGACTCCCAATTGGAGTGTAGCTCCGGCCTCTTTGTAGGGTCAATATGATTGTGTGGACTCATTGCATGAATTTGCCGCCTTCTCTACAGGGTTTTCGCTGTATTCAGGTGAACTTTGTCTCTACAAGGTATGGTATGATTTATGTTTGACCAGCTGACAATGCCAACCTTATCAATATCGTCTCTGGTTCGCCGTACCTGTTCCATGAGGTGGGAGACATGATATCATAGAATACTGATGTGACAGGTCACACATTTGGGAATGTTCAGAGGTTTTCTTGTGGGCACAAACACATGCAAATACGTTGCGTCCAAATCAAGAGGTGAACAAAACGACTGTAATGAATTTCCATTGGCTGACTACGCTACTGATGCCTGACTCAGGCCCCTATATAGTAAGTACCTTGTCGCATAAATGATGAGGCAACATATTACATAATGTATGTGGAAGTTGTTCAAGCCCTAATGAACAACATTTCCTTTGCGTACGGACAGCCACTCGGGTTTTTTGTCTGTTGCGATAGTGCAAGTGGTATCTAAGTTAGCCCCCCGCTCCATCAGCCATGCCTCGCCACGGACGAACATGTCTCTGTCCGGAAATACTTCCAAGATTTCTGCAACGAAGCCCTCGGTTTCCAGCTTATACGTCCTCCGAAGTTCACGCTTTCCATTGATTGCTTTTGTCTCTACGTTGAGGAGACTAAACTTCGGAGTACGATTAAGTCGTCGGAAAGTCTGCCCGATTGGGAATTTTTCGTCAAGAAATAGACGTTCGCATTGGGGAGAGGTGATGGTAACAGTGGATGTTGCAATGCAGACAGTGCATGATGCACACACGAGATGCACCTGTCGTGATTGTGTGATGGGGTTCTCTGGACTTGCTGGCGTAAGACGAGAAGAGCAGTGCGCGTAGATAAGTTCGATAAAGATAGGGCGGCCAAAATATGAACTGGAGAAGAAATGTCGATGCCTGGCTTAGTGCGGCAGGAAGGAATGGATAATCACCTCATTAACCTCTGTAAATCGCCCTGTGCCGCAAGCATTATGCGCTCCAAGCCAGTGGTATCATCTGGAATACATGCCAGCTTTGATGTTGTCAGCTTCAAGTTGCGATAGCCTTAACGGAGAGCGAGATTAAACATACCTCAACATTGGTAGACGTAGTGCTATATGAATCATCGGCCAACATGACTGCAAACTAAGAAGGGCTGTCGGACGAACTGTTGAAGTTCTTGAGGGGAAAAGAAAGTTGGATTTTCTGGATATTTAACATTAAACAACAGGGACGACTGAGAAAATTTGAAGGATGTTCCGCCCGATATCTATACTCGCACGCACGTGTATTAAGCACAAATAAGAATTACAAGGTAGATTGTTCACATACTCATAGTTGATGTCTGCGAAATCGAAGAGTTGAGCAACTATCTTATCTGCCAGTGATGACAATAGGTACCGTTGCAGTCAATCGTGTAGTACCTGTAGCCGATATTTTAGGCGTTTAGGCAGTCAAGCTACGGACCGAAGTCCTGCTCCTCGCAACTGGGAATTCGACAAGGATCGCGATTGCAGTCGCACGCACATGAGGGTTATATATATAAAAAGCCAGTCTGTCGATTGTCATCATGATCATGAGTCCCCATTTAGGACTTCCAATGATTTCTATGAGATACATATCAACAGAGGCAAAAAATACCCAGACAGATGTTCAGTGAATGATTATGCGCATGAATCTGACCTAGGGAGGTAACGCTGTCCATGAATGAAACAAACCCATATGCAGGTCTGAAATGCAAGATTGAAAGCAATCGCACTTTACACCTGAGTTGACCTATGGGCGTCACATGAACTGTCAACGATCATCGCTCTGTATATCAGAGACAGAAGACAGTATGGTCTGGAATACAGCCTCCTCCAGGAGCTGTTGAAGAGTTGACTGGACTCGTACCGTGAGAATAAAGACTTCAGGGTCGTTGCTGACTCAACAAATGCGGTCTACCGTCGCTGAAAACTTGATATCGGATCTCGGTACATTCAAAGCATGGCAAGTGCACTTCGTAACTTGCGATTGTCTTTAATGACTGTGATTATTAGGGCAAGGCAAAGAAGACCAGAAAGTTTGCTGCCGTTAAACGCCTCTTGAATCCCAACGATGCTAGATTGTGCGTTGCTTGACTAGCTGGTCCCCTTTGTCGCTGAATCCTTCGATGCAGAAAAGAGAACCAATTGAAGCAGAAGAGAAAAGAAGAGGAAGAAAAAGCAAAAGCGGTTCGTCGGGTGTGAGTCTTCAGTAACCTATTGGGCACGCAACTGTTAGTAACCCATGCATTTTAGACCACAGGTGGCATCGTCCATGTTCCTTGCGCACAATACCGAACTTGTGCCACCTTACCGAGTCTTGATCGACACAAACTTCATAAATTTCAGTCTACAAAATAAACTTGAGCTAGTCAGTGGCATGATGGACTGTTTATTTGCCAAATGTTTGTGGTCTTGTTGCAATTGCCGAGTATTTGTTGACAGTAATATTGACAGGCATACCTTGTGTTACGGACTGTGTTATGGCTGAATTAGAGAAGCTCGGCCACCGGTATCGTGTAGCACTTCGGTCAGGCAATATTTATTATGCTGTCGGCGCATTCATTTACTTTTTTCTCCGTCAGTGTTGCTCGAGATCCACGATTCGAGCGATTGAGTTGCAGCCACACCGGAACATACGCAGATGACTGCTTGGTGCAGCGTGTCACTGCTCACAAGTGCTATATTGTCGCTACTTGCGATCGAGAACTTCGGAGGCGTATACGACGGATTCCTGGCGTACCGCTAATGTATATCGTCAGCAGACGTTATGCCATCGAACGGCTTCCTGATCAAGGCGCTCCTGGTTCATGATACGTCGAAGACTAAAAAATACACTCACATTACTTTTTTGAGGATACTCAGTGCGGGTTGCTGCAAGTTGTTGATTTAGTATGTGCCCTTCGGTTAGAACTGTGTATATCAATCAGCTGTAACACTCTGCACACAGATACCCGTATCACGTATTCAACACTTTCCATTGATATTTTGAGATAGTGCTGTCTATAACACAGGAAGCTTCGATTGCATCCGATTTTGGGGTACGCCAGCTGTGCGTCCCTTATCTGCATCACTGGAATTGAGCAAAAAGGGTATGTGTGTGCTTATGATAACGGGAGAGCTAAGGTGCTATGATGTCTTGTTCGTTATTATATTTAATGCCAACCTAGTGATTCCTGACTACTATCTAAGCCCAACGTCCCGGTTCTCCTCCTGGAGACATGCGATCCCAAGCTCATGGGGTTATGCTCGAGTTGTCCCAGAGATCCAGGCGCCAAGCTGTACTCTTTCTTCTCAGATTTCCGTCACGTCAGGTCATTTTACTCCAGATTTCTCGTTCTCCTCGTGCGACTTTGTTATTTTATGCATCACCCTCGCGCAACTTTCTGAGATCCATAATCGTGCACCCCCTCCTTACGCTCAGTTTCGGTGTCGGCATGCACATCCTCCCGAGTCAACTAAAATCTCATTACGGTCGAAGGCCTCTATGTCATTTGAACGTCGATTGAACTCTTGAGCGCTACTGGAATAAGTATTTGTGTGTGTGGCGCGCGTGAGTTGAGGCTCAGCTTCCTCTGTGCCTGAGAACACTGGATTCTCAACAGGTATTTGATCACTGATTTACAACCCAAAAGTCCTTCTTCTGCTCCCGCGGGCCCATGTGATTTTGGCAATTCGAACTTGTCGGACGGTTATCGATCAGCGCTCAGCTTGATTCGAGATCGAGTCCCGGGAGATCAACGAGCTAATCTGAACTCGGGCTGTTCTCGCGCTGTGTCAAGCATGCGAACTCTGAGTGTTTGTTTTAATAATAACGGCCAGTTGCTAGACGTCTACTTGTTGAGCCCCAACTTCTGCTTCGTTGGTATTGTGTGAGTCGTGGCCTGGCGTTTATTTGCCGGGCTCCAGGTTCCGCTGCGCCACTTCGAAATATGAGAACACTTAGACTAACCTCATGACCTTGATTGATTGCTGTGTTTCCCCTGTGACATGGTACACGCTGCTATATAGGCCCGGTCCTCGATCGATTGAGTTCCCATGTGGGACTCTTCCTTGGTACAGGAGCTTGAAAAGGTGGCTGGGGCCGCCGCCGAGCTATTGGTTTGTAGAACCTTGTGTGCTTTTATTCAACAGATCGCCCGCGGAGCTGATATCGTCCACATCCTCGGACGTGCGCGTGAGCAGCCAGTCATATTTTTCCATGTGGTGTGATGATGGAAGAGCCAAGGATACGCAATCTCCATAGTTGCACCGTGCCAGTACATGTGTTCAAGTAGGAATACTGCGAGCGAACTTGGACTGTTGCTCTATTGTCAATGACGTCCAAGTATTAAATGTGTGATGTAATAATGGACTGACCCCTTTGATTGCGCAGCGCCCGTGAATAAGTTACTGGGACCGTCATGCTAGGCATCGAACGTATCATGACCCTCATCATTTCTCGCACAGCTACCTGTTGCTCAATCGTTAGGAGGAACGACCATCTATGGGAGACTACTGCTCAATGCTCTGCAGTCTGCTTGATTAAAGGAGAAAGACATGTCGAAATGATTAATTACCCACTGCAAGCCGTTCTGTCTCGGACTCCATCCAAAGACAGAGAGTCCAAGCTGATTGCAAAGGTCTACTCGTTAAGCAGCAGACTCATCGATCTATTTCATGTCATTGTCAGCAACCAAATTTCGGAAGAGTCCGCTTGGTGTCCACTGTCAGAAATAATGAGGTAACAACATAAGATCTAGTTGTCGCTGAGTTCAAAATGCGTTGTCTCGTGTTGTTCCATTCATCCTAACTTGTTGCTCGTGACCATTGACAAGACGCGTTCCTCTTCATCTGTTCATTTCACAAAACCATCAGATATTAGAGGGGTTGACTTTACTCTTGCGAGTCTGTCGCTACCACAGCGACCGACAAGAATGTCGACCAGCTGGCGTTCGCCATTTCCTATCCTTCCTGCACCACAAACTACACCTGTCTCCACAAATCCCAAGTCGCTGAGACGGCCTATTCACAACCCGTACGATAAATTCACCAAACCAGAGTTCGACGATTGGATTGGTGGTATTACGAGTGCTCTGCGCAGAGCACTCGGTGAGGAGACTGAAGAAGATTCTGCCCTTGACGAACACCAGTCACAGGATGTTAACGCAGCTGCCGAGGAAACATTCTCAGATCAGTCGTTCGAAGATTCATTTGCTGATATCCAGAGCAGACGCGCCAAAGGAAAGGCCAAAGATCCGCGAGAGGGCCCTGGCCTTGGTGCCGAGCAACATCCGATTGAATTGCTTTCCGACTCCGAGTCAGGTGCTGAAAGTGAGGAAGAATACGAAGAGTATTCTGATAGGGAAGCAGAGGTCATTGGTACAGAGGGGGAAGGTGAGGGTTATGACGGTCACCACCAAGCCAGGAACTGGACCGTAAACCGCCGCCACTGCCTTGTCGATCCTCAAGTCGAGAAAAATGAGGTGGCGGAAATATCTTCTAGGGAGGAGAGTCCGGACATCATTGAGATATGCTCGGACGACGAAGAAGATACTCGAGTTTCTGTACACGAAGCTGGATACAGTGGCAGGCAGTATGGGTCTTCGCAATTACCTCCTGATGAGGTAGAGGTTGAGTTAGGCCCCATTGATGCCGTCCTGTTTGAACAAGAAGGCCAGCTGGATGCAGACGTCGAAGGTAGTAGTGCTCTGACAAACAAAACATCACCCATGCGCTAATTGGCCTTTTAATCAAAGATTTCCCTCCATCTATTACGCAGCGTCAACCGTCTCTGCCTCTGGAACTTCCTGATCCATGGCAGGGTCCACGAACATACGCCGAAGATTTCTACACTGGTGGCGATTTTAATCCGCAAGATCAGCTGAATGGCGTTTCCCCTTCTAGTCTTACTCCCGTGCATGACGCACACGTCGATACACTGCTTTCCAACATACTGCAGAATGATGGGCCTCCTGGGCCCAAGACAGAACCTGCTGTAGTCAATGTAGACTTGACAGACGAAGCACTCCCTGATTCGAGCCCCCCTCCGTCATCTCCTGTCGAGGGGCGCTCCAGTCGTAGTCATGTGGATGACTACCAGCTCTCGAATGTACGAGGGATCCATGGGGAGCACGAAGAACTCGATAACATCCTTGACCATTTGTATCGAGACGTGGACAACCTATCTCAAGACGAGCAGCAAAGTTTGTCCATGCACCACATTTCGTGTCATGGTTTTACTAAAATCTTTCTCATTCAGTGATCTTTGCCTCATCATTTGATGAATTTCATAGCGGATCAATGTCTGCTCCCCAGACCTACTCCAAACCTGCTGAACACCTTGATTGGAATTGGCCTCCCGCGTTCTCGCGGGGAAAGTTTGCTAGCCGTGCTGGACACCTCGAAACTTCTTCTCCAAGGGCGGGGGTTGATGATATTGAAGAGGCCCAGGATAATATCATTGATGTCGATGCGGAACATAACGAGGAGGAGGATGAGAGCGAAGAAGCTCCGGAAGGTCCTATTCCACTAGGAACCAGTGACCTTGGGTATAATGATGAGATTCATCAGGAACAGGACGACCGAAACGGGCTAGGCGTGGAGGTTGTTGAGGAAGATGATATTCAGGCTCCAGAAGCCGACCAGTTTCCCCTTCCTTTGGACTCCGAGCTGAATGCTGAAGAATGCGTCGTAGTGGAGAGTTTCTTTGATCTTCTCAAGTGTGGAGCGTTGCCTTCAGCAAACGTGACCGAAAAAGTGGAGACCGCACTGGTTGACATTAGTGGTGTGGTCGCTGCTGAGTTTCTCGGCGGGGATGTGACGTCTCCGCCAGGCATTGAGGACGCCGGTCGGTGACTTCATGATTCAGTCACAAATTGTATCACTAAATGCTGCTACAACAGGTGACACTATGGTGCCAACGGAAGCATTGGAGTCTGGAGATAGGGAGCTTCAGTCGCAGCATCTAGATGCTATGGTGGAATCATCTACCTCAATCGAACCGACCCCTACCACGGAGATCCAAAATGGTTTTGAGAACGTAACTTTGGAGAATGTCGAACATCATTCTCTTCCTTCTGTTGCGCCTACCTCCACACTCGGTAACTCTCTCGAGGAACAACTTGACAAACCTAATGACGAGCCCATTTTTATTGTTATGGAGATGGAAGCTACTGCTCCCATTCCTCATGGGGTGAGTGAAGGGATTGAAGTAGTATCATTTGCCGGGGATGTGTCTGATCTCAATGGCGAATATGAATATGTAGTCGAGGAGCCTCCTACAGAAGCCTCGGTGGTGAGTCTAACCTCAAAATGTCTTCTATCATTTTAACTTCGCATGCTTTACAGGAGCCGGAGATTCAGGCCGCTGGCGCAGTCAACATGCTGGCGGAGACCGTTCCTGTCACACCGAAGCCTACTTCTGCGGAACCACCCTCATTTGATAATCACAATGTCTCGGTCTTCCCAATGCCCATATTCTGTGATCCTTCCGTGTCGGACCCTATCATCTGTTCTGGGACCAATCATCCGCAACGGACTCCTCCACGTTTGGTCGAACTCTCGGGCACCCCTCACATCACCATCAGCCCGCACTCTACACCAGGCCAACCCACTCCGGTTTCAGTACCCGTCTCTATGTCAATGTTGCATACTTTCTCTCGTCGGGAATCGCCATCCGATGGTAGCAGCGGTCCAAGTGGTCTTTTCACGCCTCGGGAAGGCGAGCCGACTAGTGTGGGTACAGGTGATGTCTTTGGCACGCCTTCTCCCTCTCATGCAGACCTGCCACTCCCGTCTTCTGACGATGTTATGGCCTCCGTTACGAGTGCTCTAGCATCACGATCTGAAATTGATACAACCACGATCGATGTTTCCAACAACATTGTAGTCGCCGAGCCAAGTCCAGCCGGAACACTCACTGGTAATCAAGAAGATGGTAGATCTGAACTCGTGGAAGCTACGCAGCTTGATGTATCGTCTGTCAATGCTGATGCAGAGAATGAAACTGATCAACCACCAACGAAGCCTGGCGCTGGAGACCGCTCAGTAGCGGAAGACACCACAGTAGTTTCGCTAGAATTTGAGGAAGTTCAGCAGGCGGCCAAAAACACCCTGCCAACAGTATCAGGCCAAACGCCTCCATCAGACCATGATCACCCCGAGGAGGGTCTAGCATCAGTTGAAGCTCTCCCCGCAGAGGTCCTTGGACCCGTGGACTCCCCGTTACTTAGTCCTCTGTCAGAACAAGAACCATTGCAACCGCTGGCACCTGACGGTCGGGTACCACTAGAATCCGTTTGCGAACCTGAGCAAGATGACAACACTGTTTTCAAATATGGACTGTGCGTCATTAAATGCAACCGTCTGATTTAGGCTCAACAGATTCACAGGGAACACTTCACTAATGTCCCGGACACACCGCACGAGTTTCCTGACGTCCATGAACCCGGGGGGTCTGGAGCTGCTGAGGACCAAGAATCTCAAATGAAGCCTTCCAAGCGGAAGAGAATGTCACCATTACAAACTTCGAATCGTCTCACTCGTTCAATGTCAAGCGGACACAAGAAATCTCAAGGAGATCACAAAGCAGAGCGGACTGCGCCAGGTCGCGGCCGGAAGCGGAAAGTCCTCGACCTTAAAGATGGTGGTAGCGACCATGGATCAGCAAGCTCTGGCGCTAGTACCGCCGCCAAACCCCTCCAATTCACTAGCACTAATGGGTCACGGGCTTCTTCTATCGTGTCCTCTGCACCAAGTGATTCATCTTCAATCCAACGCCCCCCTATTCCCCCGCCGCTCTTCCATGCACATGGTGCTATGCATCACCGTCATCGACCGCCACTTCTACCTTCTGTGCCAGTCCAGACCCACAATACCAAGATGGTATCTCCAGAGCCTTCCCACAACCCTGAGCGTCAAAAGGACCATTCTTCGATTTCAGTACCGCCGCGTGCTCCCTCTTCCAGCGTTCAGCGTCTTGCTGCGTCGATAAGTTCACCTGTCACTCGCTCTAACTGTCGATTCCATAAAGTCAGTCTACCCAAAGAGGAAGGTGGGCCAAGAGTATGCTTCGTGGTACCCGGTTGCTCTCTTGGTGACAAGGAGCTGATGGACGAAGAGGAGATACAAGACCATGGTCCAGCAACTTATGAGGACTATCCCCGCTTGGTGGGCAATATCGAGGCCTTGGAATTCAATCCCTATCTGATCGGCATCTTGCGGCAACTAGTTGGAGTGGACCTGATTCGGGAAAACGAGGTATTCTTCCTGCTCCAACCTGGGGAGGAAGCACAATACAAGAAGAAGGGCCGAAAATCAACCACAGGATCAAAGCTTTCCGCATCCCTATCGCTGAGTGCTTCCACTTCGCCACAATTTTCAGTGGCGTCGCGGCGTTCACCCGCGACATCGATCTCGCGGCCACCTGTTTCCACCGCAGGATCTATTGCAACATCATTTGGCTCGTCCTTGTCTGACATGCAGCTATACAAGTACACATCCTCATTATTCTCAGCGTCAGGTGAAGAGCTGTCGGATGAAGAAGGCAGTTTTCTCAAGCTTAAACGTCGACGAAAGGAATCTGTTTCTGATAAAGAAACCCATGCCAACGTAAAAGGGGACAATGTCCCTCAAGATCCACTATCGAAAGGTCCGCAGCGATTGACCAACATCCTGAGACGGAGACGGAGCAAACGACAAAGTGCGGACTCAGCTGCGTACAAGCCTCATACTGAAGATCTAGAGGGCTCTGATAGTGGAGCAGATGGATTAGGCAAGGATCGTCGCAAGACCAAAAAGATCAGAGGGAAAAAGCGGTCTCTTGTAGCAGATGAAGAACAAGACCCGCAAGCCAAGAGACAGAAGCAGGTCCCCACTGAATGAAAGCATTTTGGTATCTTTATGTTCATATTTTGTCCTCGCCACGCATCCATCTTCATTTGTTTCTATAGTACACTTTGTTAGTATCTCCCTTCAATCGCATGTCCAGAGCCATCCAACGACCTTTAGGGTGGAACAAATACGGGATATATGTTGGCCCCCGCTCACTCTGTGCCCAGCTTGGAAACCTCCGCTTGGTCTTCCGACTCACAGGTTGTTGTCTTCGAAGGAGGTGAATCACCAACATCTGCTGGGGCGGCCGAATCGAGTTCTGATGACACCTCCTGCTCATCGCTATCAAGATTGTAAATCTCGTTTCTAAGCCCTGCTGAGTCAAATACATCTACAAGCTCCTGGTGGAACAAGTCCACCACAGCCTTGAAAAGAAAAGGTGAGCAAGCGGATCGATAATGTAATCCGATGACTCACCATCAAAAGGTAACGAGCCTTTGGCGTGATGATATCTTCCTCCAGCACTCTCTCGATGCTACCCGAAGCACCTAATTGCTCTAGAATGTACACTCCTTCTTGTTCTCGAGCAACTCTGCGACAGAGCCTGCTCAGCGCAATGGCACTGCCCTCCTGGCCTTGTTCCGCCAGGGTGAAGAGCTGTTGCACCAGGTCTTGAACGTCAGCGATGGGCAAAACACCATCCAACAACAAATCCCCTATGAATTCGACCAAGGGGTACAGATGTGCTGCCCGCTCATCAAGGGCTTGTGAGAATCTGCTTTCACAAGCGTCAACAAGAATACTGGTGAATGATGGGTGTGATGATTGTCGTGTGCCATCGTTAAGCCATGTCCACCGCCTGTCCTCCATCTCAAGCTCTCTGTCAACTCTTCGGCAAAGATAGGCGTAGAGGGAGGAGCGTTGGGTATCCTCAACTGCACGGAGTGCAATCGAATCAGCAAAGGTTTCGATGGTCTCTACGCCACCCCGCCGTCTACAATTTGTAAGACGCTCGATCAACTTGGTAGCAACGGAGTCAAAGTTTGTCATGTTCAGTTTGTTGAGCAGGCCGCAAATTCTTCTTTGTTCGAGCCTGGAATCGTACTGGGAGCTCCAAGAGTTCCACATGTAGTCGTAGCTGCTAGGTCAAGAGTAAAGTGGATTGTCGCCAGTACGGAAGAAGTATCAAAATCGGGCAGCATATATGCTCCCGGCGTGTATGGGGGCGGGGATGAAGTGACGCAAAGGTTGATATCAAAGCGGGACGAACAGAGAAAAACTTTGGAGGAGTGAGAGCTCAGATTGCTGAAATCAGCGCTTATAGTTTGTTGATACCTAGTCAGTCGCCATGAAACGGATATGAAGTCTTCTAGATTCCATCGTGATTGATGGGGCATGGAAGCTCTAAATGCCTCGAGCTCATCGACGCCATTCGTGGACCTGGCTTCGGAAATTCTCACTCAGGATCCGGCAGCCACTCGCATAATGATAAACTTCTCAGTGACAAGTGCTACCAAGGGGAGTCCGTTTGCCAAGACACTTGTTGGAACAAAGTTTGAAGGCTTGATCGTGGTATGTTTGCTCTGGCCCTGCAGATGAATCATGCCGTAACTGATGTTCATATGAAGCTCGCTGCATGATGGATAGCGCCGTATCTACACCGTACACGTGCAGCGTCAACACGGGAAAGGTACAGCACAGTTTTGATGGCGCACCCTGATTGTCGTCACGGGAGACCGCGACGGAAATACTCGTGGGCTGGCACACGACGCATGCGATGATAGTCCGTGGTTCGAACCGGTTCGAAAAACAAAGGAAGCAGGAAATAATATACACAAGGCGTGTCAACATAGGATCACAAAAAACAACAACGACAATTCGATAAGTGAGATAGTCACCGTGTACTCTTCCTCTTCTTTGTTTTTGGTTTGTCACTTTCGTCCACATCCATATCGCTTGATTGTGATCTCTTCCCTGATTTCCCCTTTGCTTGCACATTGTTGTTCCTTTCCGCTTCTTGAGCATCAGCCTCATCCTCAGATGCAAAAGGATCATCTTCTTGGGTTTTCTTCTTGGGAATGGGCTTTTTCTTTGTAGCGATGGAAGGCTGGTCCTTCTTTTCGTCAGGTCTTGCTGTAGAGGCTGAAGCAGTATTCAACTCCGAGAAATAGGCATCTTTGAGGTCCTGCATAGGAGTATGAATAATGTTTGTATGCCCTCGTTGTAGCTATACACTTGCCTTGATCTCGGAACCTGCAAGTAGAGAAGTGTTTTTCCACACCTGATCACATCCTCAATCGTGTATCATCTTTAAGTTGCACGAGACTTACTGTTGATGGAATTCCGCTTGGGTGTTTGCTATCGAGTCCTGAATGCAGACACCGAAATCATCGGCATGTAGTTTCAATAATTCAGCTTGATACTCGCCTGCTCCTGTGTATAGATCCGATTTTACGCCACTGAGATTGACGCCGTGGTTTCTCAAGAGAACTTTCATGACCTGCTCAGAGAGTTAACGCTCGAAAATGAAGAAAATGGCAGTGATACCAACATTTGTGACAGCATCTTTGTCGTAGACATCTGGGATATAGAGACAGATGACGTGTTGACGGTGTGGAGTCTCATTCGCCGGTGATGTTGCTACTTTCGCCAGAAATGCGCAAGTTGAGGCAAGGGCGCCAGAGATAAGCGATGCTTGGAGGATTGAGTGAGAGTTGCACTGATAATGATAGAAGTCTAGCTTACTAGCGATCTTGGACCATATTACGTCTACTTTGTCTGCGGGAGCGAATATCAACCTGTTCGAAATCATTCCCGGTTACTGATGATATTAATCAGGAACGCTAACCATTTTCCACAAACGTAGTTATGCTTAATGGATATATCCTTCAGTTTCTCGGCAGCGTCTGCTTGTACCTATCGAACCTTTGAGTACACAGGTTTCAAGTGCGAAAATGAATCACCTTCTCACGGACATCCTTTTTGCTCTTTGCTCCTGTCTTTTTGCTAGAGCGCATAGGGACAGAATCATCGTTCTGCTATACGGTTGGGGAGAGAGTACCAAATAACACTGGATACCTGCCTTAATCTCTTCTACTCTCTGCGACACTTCCTTCACTAGGGTAGATTGTTAGTGAGCCGGAGTACATTAATGATATGGCATACGCAATGCTGCAGCTTCACTGATAGCAACAGTTGCATCAGATTCAGATGTATCCTGGTTTCGGTTGCTTCCTTCGACCCATATCCACTTCATGGATGCTTGGTTATATACAGTAAGTATGGGATTATAGTAAACAGGCTCACTGGTTTTGTGCCGTCATTCTGGACCATGGACGGTTTATACTGACATAATACATTGATGCGTCAGAAGAGAACAAGAGCCTGATGATTGCTGTGATCCGATACCTTCGTCAGAAAGTCTGGTAAAGCTATACTTGACCCCTTGGACCAGAAGTACGGGTATTCTTGAGGTACTGTATCATCCGACTCTTTACCCATGTTGAACCTGATACACACAAGCTTGAAGGATTAACGCAACAGCGATGTTGGTTGAACCTATGTATAAGTATAAAAGAAAAGTCAGGGACTCAAAGTTTAATGTTAGGAGCGTGTCGACCAACACGGTCACGTGTCACTGCTAAAATAAAATAAAACGACCCGGACCCCGGAAGAGCCTCACGGGGGGCAAAACTCTAGGCGCTTAATGATGACATCAGTGTTGCAGCGTTGCCTCATTCCAGCCGTCACCCTTGCCATTGTAATTAACCACCTCAACCTCGCCTAGCATATATATTAGTCTGTGGGATTATTCCTCGTTCGACCCGATCCACTCGTCAAAATCGAAAGCATTTCCCTCGAGCACTTCAACGTCGTTGACATTGCCCTGAACTTCTTTAGTCCTTTTCAATTCTTCGAAAGTTGCAAATTCTGCGGCAATGTCGTCAGGCGAGATTCTCTATGAACCAGCAAGGAGGTCATATGCATCACTAGGCCCAGTTGAGAGCGGAGGTGCCCATGCGAAGGATGCTTCAATATCTTGTACATTCTCAACAGCAATGCCAACCTCTTCACGAATGTGCATGTGAGCATGTCGACAACGGGTGGACTTCCCAGCCTCCGCAGCTTTTACGAAGGCCATCTGCTTGGCCACCAGCAAATAGTGCGACCTTCACCATGAGTTCAAATGACCTGCCATTGGCTACCTGCATAACAGCAAGTTTCCGACACATTGGGTGGAGAAAGAGAGCAAGCAAGTAAACTTCCGTATTCACGGCGAGAAAGCGGTGGTTGAAGACAGATGTCATGACCTTGCCAGTGGATTCATCATTCGAGCACCTGATGAATTATCAGTGTCGCCGCAATATTTGCGTTTCCAGCAGCAATGATGCGAGCTGTCACTTCCAGGCGCTCGAAATTGTCGTTGATCAGTGATGCAAGGGGGCGCCCTCCAGCGTGCACCAGTGCCACTATCTTACTTTAGGGACATTGTTTTTCATGTTCTCTTGAATTCAAACTATGTTATCAGAGATCTAAATTACATCTCTGCGAGTCTCGCAGATACCCTGGAGTTCTACCAAGTTTTGCCATCCCCCTTTCGCGTGAGTTCTGCCGAGGACCAGGCACAACCAGTTTTGTCGAACCGGTTGGCAAACTCGGTAGTTTTGCCAACAACACTACTTCCGAGTAAAAATGAGACAGTGAGTACTCAATACTTATAGAAAGGAGGAAGGATCGTCAGACTGAGGCTCACTCACCCGTATTGTCACAGGTTGACCCCGTGGTTGCAGAAGGTGAGAGGGCGGCCAGTATGATATGTATATTAATATCAATTCGTTGTCACAGTACTAATACTTATACTAATGCATGAGCATCAGCCTTTTGCTACAACAACTTGGCATTCGGAAAGAAGCAGCGCCGTAGGGTGAGTATCCGCTCAGTTCAATGTTGAACGTCGAACAACTGGTCTCCTTTAGCTCGGCGCTGTGATCTTCTTCAGAATACACGGGTGATGGCCCTTCACTTTCATTTCTCCGTTACTACACACTCACTTTGGTAGTAACTTTGCTGTCTCTTGCTGTTATGATCACTTTGATGAGTTTCCATCTGGAAATGTGACCTTTCTATCCATAACCATGAAAGAGCCTGGTCTCACCATTGCCTTCGGTAGGTGCTTGCATTCCAACCACGAGTAGGTTGGAGAATATTCTTGGCCTTGCTTATTCTTATCCGCTAATGAATCTGGGGCTCCACTCAGTTCTCCCTACATCTCCGGCGTAATGCTCTGCCATCCGCAAGGCGCAATCAATCTACCAAACTAATAGAACCTTCAAATTCCGCCCACACTGGCGACACTATTTTCAGGATATAAAAGCAAGCCATGTTGGATGGTACCTCCCACCTCGACTCGAGCTAAATCTGATATTGACTAAGATACAGGATACATGAAAGATTTTCGGTTTTGGTTTCAGCGCTTCAGGCACTCGTTGAGTAACTCGAAATTTGCTTCACTGATTAAATCTTTAGACCTGTGTTCCGACTGAAGCCTCGTGGGGCATTGGCATGATGTCAACTGAAAGGGCTTACAGTTACATCAGAGTAACTTTTCAGTCTACAAGTCCGTCGACAGACTGCGCAACTGTAATTTAGCACAGTACAAGTTTCGCAAGGATAACCACTGTCCATGCTTCGCTTAAGCAGATATAATTAATTGTCGAGTCCTTGTCTGAAGTTATTGGCCTTTTTTGTTAGCCTACCGCAAAGACTTAAGCATGCAACTTAAATTGCGGAATGAACATAGTTTGGCTAGGGAGAAGTTCACTCGCATCAATTGATGATCACCAGTGACCTGGACGACCGTCGTCAGACTCATTCCTCAATTGGCATATTCGTTTGCTCCTTCATGACAGGCTACGTTCGGTATGTGCATGAGAGAGGGGGGACGCCCCAACACTAGCGAGTAATTTATGCACAAGGTGCAAATGATACAGCAAGATGCAGGGAACAAATATTTATGTCTACATCTGTTCAACCGCGAGTTCTAGTAGGTCTGGCTGATCGACTCGAGTCAGACCCATATTGTTCATCTAAGTAATCGCTCAATCGCTGCGCATCAGGTCGCTCACTCGGGTTCTTTTTCCAACAATATTCAAACGCAGACCATGCACCCTGTCGAACGAGACGGTAGTGTGCCTTGTTGGGTAATTGATTAGCCACCATAGCTGAGACTAATTGGCTATCCGTTTTGTCCACATACGGGTTCTTACCGGAGAGAATCTAAGCATCTCAATCAGAATCCAGCGCCTGGGCTACAATGATTTGCAAACGCACCTCCAGGCCCGTCATCCCTGCTGCCCAGATATCCGATGCCATCGTTGGTGTTGGTGTTGTATCTGGATTTTCAGGTATCATCAACTCTGGCGCCATGTAGCGGAACGTGCCAGCTATGGTCATTGTGCCTGTCGTGAACCCAGAAGTCCCAAGGATTCGAGAGTGTCCAAAGTCGGCTAACACCGCATTGCCTGCGTCGTTGATGAGAATGTTTGTCTACGAAGATAATCGCATCAGCTCCGGTATCGCAAAATATGAAGGAAATGGGTGCCGGACAGGTTTGAGGTCCCCATGAACAATAGCACGACCATGTAAATAAGCCAATCCAGAAATAAATTGGCGAAGCTGTCCAGTCATTCGTAAATGCGGTAAAAAATCAGTAAAGTGAAGTGTACCAAGTCCATCCGCACAACATTTGAATTGTGTCTTAGGTACTGCATGATGGTTCCATTCTCATAGAATGGAGATAACAAACAGGGGACTTGATATCCTCGCGTAACCTCATAACATATACCAATAAATGGGGCCAAGTGAGGATGAATACATCTACTCCATACTCCTGTTTCTCGCAGGAGCCTCTGAAAACATTTGACTGAATAACAAAATTTCACTTGTGAGATAGGAGATTTTACCCGTATTGTTTGTTCTGCAGTTTGACTGTTGAGAAACAACGTCGATCTCATGACCTTCACGGCTACCTGCAGCAAGTATGTGAGATATATCATGAATTAAATACCACCACCGCATCGTACAGTGACTGATCGACCTCCAATTGTGTAGGTGCCTTTCCATACCTCTGAACAGTGTCCATTGGCAATTTGATCTGTCTTGATAACCCTTCCTGTGAGGTCATTCACAGTGATGTTTGCGAAATCGAAGGGCATTGTACAGTAGGGTAGGGGGCGGGAAACGATAAGATGATGGAGACTACAGCAAGCCGCACGGCACCTCAGGCTATATATATAGGCTTCCTGAGGCGCCTTATGTACCTTTGTTATACTCAGTGGGCACTGAGAGAAAAGAAAAACACATAATCGGGAAGGATGGAGATAGGCACTGATGCGGTGCGACGTGTATTTGTATTCGACCGGTCACCATTAGCATTCAACTTGTGCACCAAGGGTAAACATTGACTTTTCACATACGAAGGTTTCGGGCGGCAGTGACAATAGATCTACAAGTCACTAATTGACTAGAACATCACATATTGGGGATTTCGGACCGTTTTTGGTAATAATGATTTTTACGTACTTATCAAGTTATATGCTTCGGGAATCGACAAACAATACAAACGCATCGATTGTCTCTACTTCAAGCGTCTCTGTCTCTCAAAAAGTTCTTTTTGAAACCCCCAGGTCCACTCTCCTGAAATGTCGCCCCAAACGCCACTCGATTTCAACTCAGGTCCCATGGTTTGGATCGACTGCGAAATGACTGGACTCGATCCTAGAAAGGATAGAATCTTGGAAATTGCAGTGAGTGCTTCAAACTGGTCGACTAACAGTAATTGGAATCCATCTTCACGTCCAGGTATTGATCACAAATGGGAACCTGGAGCTTGTCGATGAACAAGGCATCCAGTTCGTTATTAGGACTGACGAGGCAATTTTGAATTCGTGAGCCTTCTATAATGATATAACAAACCTTGTATACTGAGAACGGTCAGTATGGACGAGTGGTGCAGAACGCAACATGGAAAGGCTCGTTGTCAATGCATTACCCAGTGTACTTCACAGTTAGTGAAATAAACATTCAGTCTGGTCTAACGCAAGCCTGCATGACATCGCCTCACACGAGAGAGTATGTTGCAAAAGTTATTTTGGAGTACATCAAGAAATGGGTGCCGCAAAGACGGACTGCGGTTCTAGCTGGAAACTCAGTCCATGCAGACCGATCATTCTTGGTGGAGGAGATGCCTGAAGTTATTGACTGGCTTCATTACCGGTAAGCAGTCTATCCTCCTCACGCATGTACAACTTGATTAGACATCGTGCTAGGATTGTTGGTGAGTCAATCATCTCTGATCATGAAGACAGCGGCCGATGCATGTTTCCTAAGATGTGTCATCAATAAAAGTGAGATATAACCAAATGACGGCAATTGTCAGCTTATTTATGTCCTGCAGGAATTATGTCGTAGATGGTACCCAGACAGTCAAGTTCCGAAGGACGTATTAGCCGGAAAACATAGGTAAGTGCTGGAGACTCGGCATCGTCCTTGGTGCAGTAACTGAACAATGTACAAGAGCTTTGGATGACATCATGGATTCCATTCAAGGTCGGTAGTGATGTTGAATCGTCGATGGACTTGGATAATCTTATTCTCATAGAATTATCATGGTACCGCCAAAATATCTTTGTTTAACTTGTGTCTAGGAAGGCATTTTGATAAGTAAATGTGCGTACGCTTTGTGCACACGTTGTCGAGTCAACGAGAACGTTTGTTTGTGACACTCACATCCCTTGGCAAAGGTTTCAGGCAATCATATGTAAAACTGCATGATTCCTGCACTACGCTGGTGTTGGGTTGGTCTCATCATGTGGCACAGATGAGGTGCATGCAAGGTGCATAACTTGGGCCTCAGGGCCCCATAATTAGTTTTGCGAAAAAAAAGTAATTCGACGTCTTTCGGGGTCTACCACCCATGCATATTACTTTCTGCGCAGGGCACGAGAACGAACGTCGACATATTACTGGCTGTTTAACTGGAAAATTTTATGAAGTAATTACAAGTCGTATAAATCAGGTATCATTGGTTATCGATGGGCATCTGGTTTCTTTTGGTGTTTCTGCTCACGAAAACTGGATGACTTTCCATAGGCAAAATATTTCAGAACAGCGTGCGCATATTCTGAGTCTGACACTTGGAAATAATGACTTTGGTTTGGCCCATCGTACGGAAATAATCAACCGCACGCCAGCTCATCAGGTTTAGTCATTCTCATCAATGGACGATTTTGTATTCCAGTATGAGTTTCTCAATCAGACCTTTCGATGATGACGAAGGGATTCGGGTCCTAGCTGCTGCTACAGTCATTGCTGGGATTGAGGTATCACGACAAGACCGCATTGAATTGACACTCGGCATCCTCATCATTTATGTCTTTGCCTACCCAACTGTTTCCAATCCTCGCATCAACACCTCGTGAGGGAGACATTACATAACATACTTGGCGAAAGGTTGAAAACACACCTTGGTATCACTGCCTGCGTTGCGTGCCCCTCAATTCCCCAACTTCAGGAGGGGATGTTCTAATCAACATTTTTCAAGCCTACGGAAAGTTGCCCACTGTCAGCAGTAGTCGTTCAAATATTCACATGCTAGGACTAGCGCCCACCCGAGATTTGACTTTCTGTATGTATGCGTGCGCCTTTGTAATTTATATTTCGTATCCTACGCCAGCGAGTGCTAGTGCATGTTTTTGTATAAAGGGAATATAAGTTCTAGCTAAGGAAGCACGGGCAGATACCCGGTACGAACAGCGTCCGCACTACTTCGCTGCTACCACGTAGTTCCAGTCGCTTTTGATAGCTCCCGTCTGGATACCCACCAATTCTGTCCAAAGTGGCCTCGAGACGGGACCCATACCGTCCTCACCAGTTGGTATCATGACATCACCTCCGTTGTACCCAATTCTCTCGACAGGGCTGATAACAGCCGCCGTGCCAGTTCCGAATAACTCGACAAGTCGACCCTCCTTCGAGGATTGGATGATCTCGCCCATGTTGATGGGACGCTCCGAGACCTTGATGGTATCAGGAAGACCTTGGAGGCGCTTAACGCCGGAAACATGGTTACGCGCGAGCGCTAACACAGAATCGCGGGTGACACCCGGGAGAATCATTCCGTCAAGAGGAGGCGTAATGAGCTCGCTCACTGCGAGGGCGATGGATTCAATGTGATAGAAACACCACTGAGCTAGATACTTACCACCACCCCTGTCCTTAATAACAACAAACAAGTTCATAGTGCCCGCCTCAGGTGAGCCAGTGTCCGGGGCCTTGTAACCACAAGTTTTGCGCGTAGCCCTGATTAGCTGCATTTTTTTGTGCGACGACACAGGGACCATAGTTCGCGGCAAGTTTATATGCACCGATGCCTGTAGGCCCGAGATTACGTTATTGGGTGGTGGAGCGAGTAGTAATGCAAACCTCCAGGCGCTGCGCGAATATACTCCGTAGTGCCATATAATGGCACAGGCTTGAATCCTTGAGGGTAGTATGGCCCTACAGGGCAGGTGATCACAAAAAGTAGTGCTTCCTTTGGGGGAGCAATAACTAACGTGCTATTCGTGGCAACTGCAGCGTTGTTGTTATTAGTTTTTGTGTCCTCAGGAAGGGTTATGACACTCACTTAACGTGGGTCTGATGTAAAGACTGTGCCCGGGCTCATTAGGTATCCATTTATGGTCAATGGTGATCAACGCCTTTATACATTCAATAAGCGCGTTGCTGTTGAATGTCTATTGCAAGAAGCTTCGAATCACGATCTTTTTAGAAGTGAAGAACAGGGCGTACGGGAAGCACTAGCCGCTGTGCGCTGGTGTTCATACGTTTCATGTTCATTCCAGGCCGGAATAAGGTCACGGTGCCATCCGCATGCCTGTAGGCTTTCATACCCTCAAATAAAGATTGAGCATAATGAAGCATGGTAGAGCCAGGGGACAGATTGATAGTACTGACTAGAATACACGCAGGGGATCATATCAGTAAAAATTATGGTGAAAGCCGAGGACCTCACAAGGCACAATGCTGGGTGTCCCCCAGCCAGTGGCGTCAGTCCAGGGGATTCTCAACATATGGTCTGACTGGGATCACGATGAAGCACAACACACAAATAACACAAGGTGACCCACGAATGTTTGTCCGAAAGTAAGGCTCCTAGAGGGAGGCAGCTCCTTCGGACTCCTCGTTTTGGTGACAGTGAGTCGGGAGGGCTTCGTGAATAGTTGTAATGAAAACGGAACCTTGAAATCACTGTCCATACCTCAATATCAAGCGAAGTGGTAGGTTTTCCCGTCATGGAGTCCCGAGTGATACCCTGGGACATGTACCGGTTCCCAATGGCACCAGCACAGCATGACGAGCAAGTTACAGTCTGCGTACGGGTAAGCCTAACAAACTGGAGTAGTGTCGAACGTGGACTCGAAGGAGGAAATGACATGTCTGGCTGGGCCTAAGGGGTATCACGAGCAGAAGGATATGCTAAGATAAAATGAGAGCACTTTTATACAAACTACAGCGAATTCGAGCTCAAGTGTTTCTCGACCCAATCACGAGGTGTCACGAGTTTGGGGGAAATCTGGGTGAGCGCCATACTATCATGCCTGGAAAAACACGTAAAACTGCGCACAGCATGACGGGGGAGGACTGAATTGCCACCATACTGTTGCCATGATAAAAAGAGCATGATGGGGTAGCACTATCCCTTAGGGTTTAATAACGGATGATTTATGATGACCCACCTCACAATTTTGGAAATATGATGATTTGTTCCAAATAATAATGGTATGTCATCTGCAAAAAGCGTCCAAACAAAATGGTGGTCCATCATAAATGGTAGATAGTACTGAGGCTTGAGCTTTCTGTAATGTAGATCGTTAGTAATAGCCGGACGAAGCTGCAAGCTCACCACGTAATGTTCCATTTCCCCGCTTTAATATCGGTCATTGATAACCGGATAGGCTCACTACATCATACATATTCCGTTTCCCCACTGGCCAGGTCATGAGGGGCTTTTGTTGTTGAGTTCTTCACCGCCGTTTCTTTCTTATTTGTCCTTCGTCTTCAATACAAACCAAAGTCGCACGAGACAGAGCCGAACAACCGAGCTGCCACTTCACCTGCAAGGATCATTCCGAGCTTGGATGGTGCTCAGCACCCACACAGCTATCGGTGATAATAATACCGGCCGTAGGCGCTTGTGTCGAGCGCCTGAGCACAAGAGGATGGCCAGGTGAACAACTATAAGCTCAAGCTTAAAGCGCCTAAACTCGAGCTCTTCGGCACAATCCTGAAGGCCTCTAACTGCCTTGAGTACGACCACTTTCGTCTTGTTCCTCAAGTTCGCGAATGCCAACATTGCCGACATTGTTAAATACAGACCCCAAAGTCTACTTCCTCCAGAGACTGGATTTCGAGTTTTGAAGGGGCTGCCCTCCGAATCTTGAACAAATCTGTCGAGCGACTGTGACTTGTCGTGCGCGGTTTGGAGCTATTCAACGTCCCTTGTATCTTTAAGTATAAATCATCAGTTGGACAACGCCGTTATCGGAATTATAAACACACCGAATCAATCGAGCTCCTCGAGACGAACAACTTTGAACAGAAGCTAAATGTGACGTCTCATGTAAAATAAGGAGGGCGAGAATCTTCTGGAGGTTTTGTATTTTAGTGTGTGCTGTGTCAATTGAGCTGGTCTGAAAGTTTCTTAGCCTTTGGGGCGGCGATGGTCGAGTTCCTTCGAATGTCGTTCATTGACTGTGTCGCTATGTACTATGCTTCAGGCTGTTCGACGAGGTAGTCATCAGACAGTACGGCGGCTTTGAGCTGATGTTGTAGTGCGCTCCATTCTGCATAAGCTTCTTTAGCCGAGCTATAGCACCTGTAACAGTCAACGAGACTCGGCCAGCACAACAAATGGATTGGCCCGGGAATGCTTGCTTAAAGTTCCTCTCATTAGGCGACTTGGGGAGCTAACAAACTCAGTAAGTTACTGTTGCGGTCTTGAATAGAAGTGAGTGCCCTTTGTGGGAACATACCCAGAGACTGCGGCTTCCTGCCAAGAAAGAGCTGTTATAGTAGGTGAGTGAGAGAGCTCGAGGTGGCTCGGGATCAGATCTTCAGAAGCCGTCGATGTTCAACGCGGCCAGCTATCGCCGCATCTTTTTGCCGCTGAGCTACAGAGGGACAATAAATGAGTCTGCGGAATAACTGGAGATCCTAGGATGCAAACCATGGCCCATAAAGTTGCCCAGGCGCCTTCGCGGCGTGACCATCCTGACCCAATCACGTCAGTTTGTGCCATTTGACTCTGACACCAGTTTGAATGACGATTTGAATTCATGACTAAATACGGTTCAGGAGAAAAAAACATCAAGGAATAATATCTGGGTAGCAGCAGATGACCTGATACGAGACAATATATGTATACCAACGAGCATGAAACTAATGATGAGTAAGGACCGACTCGAAGGCGTACGTCGCAAGCGCCGCACGCAGGTGAGCATAGAGGATATAGCAAGATGACGAAAGAGATAGTCCACAGTTTCCGTTATGCCCAAACCTGCGGTGATTCGTCAAATCCTCATAGCCCATAAAAATTGATGAAACATACCCTGAGAGTGCTATCCCAACTACCAGTGCAGAGAGCCATTCCATCCACACTTACACCCAAACAGCTGACTCTGTTTTCATGTCCGGTCAAAACACCTACGCGCTCGCCCCGTAGAGTGTCCCACACATTGCATGTCCAATCATCGTAGCCGCCGAAGAGAATGCGGCCGGAGATGGAGAATGCGACGGAAGTGATACCACAAAGAATATTGTCGTGCGTAAAGCTGTTTAATTCACGATCCGCACGTATATCGAAAAGCCGGCATGAAGCATCGTCCGATCCTGTGGCGAATGCATCGCCATTTGGGAAGAACCTGAACAACAATGAGCACCCTGCATTGCCACATGGAAGCCGTCAGCTTACTGAACAGCGTTGATGTCTGACTCATGGCCTGTGAAAGTCTGGGTTGCCCGGCCACTCCGGATATCCCACAGCTTGGCGGTTGCATCGCAAGCACCAGAGACGAAAACATTCTGATTTGGACCGAGTGACAAGCTAAGTGATATGAGTTAACAATAAAGTGATTGTATAGCAAGAACCATACCTCATGACGTCCCCAGTGTGATCACTGAATTCGACCACTCTCACACCAGCTTCAATATCCCAAAGCATACAAGTCATATCACCGGAACTAGTGACGATTTGTCTGTCGTTGATGAAACGACAGCAACTGAGATAACCGGAGTGAGCGCTCAATTCGCGCCCACCTCTGACACCATTGGCTTCTCTACTGTTGAGGTTATAGATAGAACAGATATTATCAAGACCACCACATGCAACAAAGTTTCCTGATGGTGAATAAGCGCAGGTCATCACCCAACTTGAGCGAAGAGGGATGGCGTGAACTTTGTTGGTCGTGTAGGCGTCCCATACAATAAGCTTTCCATCCTGTGAGGCGGAGACGAGATGTCGACGATCAGCGGCCCAATGCATAGCATAGATTTTTGCAAGATGACCCTTGAGTGAACGCCGAGGTCGCATAACGATTCGAGGTAGAGTATCAACCTCGGCAGCCATGGCGCGTACTGTAGAGCATGTTACCGACCGGTCCAAAAAGAATGAATTGGCAAGAACGACGAAATAACATACAGCTTGTATCAGCCGAGGCCTCTCTACTCGCCCGAATTTTCTCCTTCAAAACTTCCGCCTCGCGACGTGCGGCGGCGATCCGCTCTTGTATGTCGCCTCCTGGTTGAGACATTATTTGTGGAGGAGGGGTGGGGTTTGGGTGAAAGGACAAAACCGTGGGAGGCAAAGTGTTCAAGTGATATGTAAGTTTGTCTCTATTTACACAAAAATGCACTTTGCCAACTTATAAGTTAAAGGTTGGCAATGCTTCAAAAAAAACTTAGTATGTGCTTCTGAACCGTGTTCTATTTGGCGGAAGAAGATGATTGAATTCTAATGCATGGTGCTGTGTGCGTCTTCTAGAGCACTATAGTTGCATACGGAGCGGTTCCATGCAGAACTTTGTGCTATAGCTGAAACACGAACCCGTGGGACTTGATCTATTATGTTCGAACAGGGTAATATTTAATGATTCAATTGATTGATCTTTGTCTAGGACCAGCCAGGACGACAACTCATAGGACATGGATTTCACAAAATCAGCACCGAGTCTGCACACGCTCCCAGAGGAGATATTGTGCTACTTGTTCTCCTTCCTTCGTGCCTCATCGATCTTGAACTGTACATCAGTATGTCATATCGATCTACATCAAAGATCAATTCACTGATCGTACTTGATATCACAGACGTGTCGCTACCTTCACAAAGTCCTTGATAACTCCTCTGCACTGCAGTATACGATTGAACTCGAAGCACAAAAAATGGTGGAGGTTACTGCGCCAGACGCAATGACATCTCCTGCAGAACGCTTAGAGATACTGAGAAACCAAATGTGTTCCTGGCGAGCGTTTAAGCCCACCATCATAGATCAATTTCTGCAGCCAGGTGGCGAGGTATCCGTGTCATTCGGGCATTTGTCTACCTGGGATGATCGTCCCCAGATCGCGCAAATTCGCATGCTGGACTCAGTCCCTTCGAAGTCCCAGTCATATAGGCGCTGGAATGCAGGCAGTTATCCGATGACAAAAGACACTCCTTTCCGAGTCCACAGCGTCTGCATGGACCCATCACAAGATTTATTTGCTTTTGTGGTACTCGAGCCGAACCACATGGCAGAAATCTCTTGCAGGATTTACTTGGAGACTCTGAGCACGAGCGAGCCGCACCCTTTGGCTGCCAGTGAGATCCTGACCTCCTTCAAGCCACACATTTCAGCAAACTGTCACCTTGACCAGACAAGGACAAAGCTCAAAATCTGGGGGGACTGCATAGTACTCTTGAACATCTGCGATGAATATTCTGCATGTCCTGCAAGAATGCAGATTTGGAACTGGCAAGAGAAACAGGACTTCAAGGTACGACTAGTACGTGTTTGTTTGAGCGATTATACTTACCATTTGATTATAGTGTGTCTATCGAGAACAGGAACCATACGGCAAGATGGATGACTGCTGTATCGTGAACCGAGATCACTTGATCGTATCATCTAGAATGACCGGCCGCCAACTACGCAAACTGAGCATCTTTTCATTTTCTGACCTTGGGAGACCTCCAGTCCGCGTTGCGGAGTGTGTCCTACCCTTTCAACCAGAGGCAACATTCCTGCGGCATTCTCCATTTGTAACCATCAGCCCAGATATCTGTCGTTCTATGACCCCTCAGGAAGCACGCTTCTATCCAAACGCTAAAAATCAACTCATTGCTCTCAACGTTGACGGTCCACCCAGCCTCGTCCTTATCATTGACACCGATAAACTCCTCACTGTCTGCCAAAGCGGCATACATACTGAGGGTCAGAGCCCCGTTTTGTCCTGGAAGGAATGGGGCCCAAACTGTTCGCGATGCATTGTAGACCCTGTACCTAACAGCATTTTCGTCCTGCGTTTGGAAGTCGCCGGCGGTAGAGCAGTCCACGCTACCCCAAATGATGTCAGCTGCACATCTTATAGCCTGCGCACGTACGACTTCAATAAGTATCGCATGTCGCGTGCCGCAGCTTCCAAGGACTTTCGTGGCTGCATTATTACAGAACCATCGACAGTCAAACACCAACAACTCGATGAAGACATTGTAACAAGCCTTCCTTACATGGTCGTTGTGGACGAGGAACGCATCGAGACGGCTGCGAGCATGATAGATGTCACTTTCGATGACGAGAACATCTTGATCATCAAGGCTTGTAAGTCTCATCTGTTTGAGTGTGCGACGCTAAGATATCACACAGAGCTCGGAGCAGGATGAAAACGAATTTGTAATCAATGTTGCTAGGCTCTCCTCTATGGCTTTGCGGGGGAAATAGGATGTATGGAATTGTAGAATTTATGTCATTAAAAGGACTGCGAAGCTGCGTCGAACCAATGTTGGACGTCATGTTATTGAGATTGGTTTATTATAGTTTTTGAGTCCTGACCTGCATATTCTGTAGTACACGGTGCTATGCACTGGACAAAATTAAATAAATAATTGCGGGGTGAAAAAGAAAAAGAATCTCTGAATCTCGAAGAGGAAACTTCGTGCTCACCGTGACATCGTCCTCACAAAAATCGATGAAGAAAACCAATTTCCTGCTCGAGTATCTTTTTACATAAGTCTTACACATGATACATCCAAATTCCTAGTTGCGCCATACTAATGCATGGACATACATTACAGCCTCGATGACCGGCCGTCGCATCTACCACCATCATGCCCACAACAAAGGAGACGAACTTGATCCATCACAACATTTTCGTCACTCACCGGCACTGTCTATATCCTGCAACATCGTTCGAAACGCCGGAATCTTACCCCCGATGAAGTGCTTGTCGTACATTGTGCATGTGCCCGACTTTTTTGTGCAAACAATTCTTCGTCCATCCCAATCATCCGCGAAGTTCAACGTTCAACAGTGTAGTATTCCATATTTTTGCAGAGTCTCATAGAATAAACCATCAATGAGAGACCTACTTACTAGGTTGCTGTGTTCGAGGTACCACTTAGTGAGCGATGGTATCACGTACGGTGAGCACGAAGTTTCCTCTTCGAGAGATCATAATTTTTCATCTTCACCCCGCAATTATTTAATTAATTTTTGTCTAGCGCCCCTCATACACCGCGCTCACTAAGTTTACATACTGTACGTACTGTCCAGCATCGGTTCCGCTCCACTGGACAATAAACAATGATGAAAAAAAATAGGCTGGTCGAGGACAGCAAACTATTACTTGGACGGGTCCAGCGCCATACGAACTCGATTACGATAGTGCACACTATAAGGGAAACAGTGCTGTGGTGATATTTTCCCCCCAGGCAACGGCGAGATTTTCCGCTTGTTGATACGAATTCTCTGCTCCAATCTGGGAGTGGGTCAACGGAATCGAATATCGGGCAAAGTGTTTTCCATGCGTCTGTGTCTACCATCAGCCCAACGAGAAGCGAAGTCGGAAAATCAATCAGTTACCGGGTAAGCGGTGCAGATGCTTCTGAGTCTCCGAGGGACTTTCGGCCATAACCTACAGCTAAGCCACTGGGAAAGTATGTCAAATCACGGCAAATGCTCAAGGCACTTAGGCTACGCACTCCCCTATATGCCAGTCGATGTGACTAAGTGGGCAATAGTAGGATCAGTGCTAGTGTAGACCGATCAACATCATTGTGCTTACCAATGCAGGAACCACGGACCGGAGTTATCGGTGACCCACCTAATTACCATTTGTTGGTCTTGATTCCCGATGGATACTACATCCCTGCGCACGGGATTGACGTAGTTGAAAGAGCTGTTGCCAGCGCTCTGAACGACATCAAAGCTGTGCTACAATGTGCAGTGAGTAATTTAGGGTCCGGTCGTATCCAGAATCACTTACACCATGCAAATGAATTGGATGCTAGGAAGAATTGAAGAGATCATGAGATATATACATCATGGGGTCCGAGTGAGCGTGAAACTTACGGGACCTCTGGGTTCACCATTTATCATTGTCAATTCGACGACCTTGTTAGCCTCTAAATCATAAACAGATCCCTCTGGAAGGATATCAGCCGCTTCTTGTGCGCCACTGAGTATTTGGAGCAGCACGGGCACAGATGGAGACTTGAATGCAACGCCGTTGACGTAGAATATTCCATCTATTTTAGTGACATACATCATCAAGTTGATATCTGCATTCCCATATCCCGGAATACCAGGTGCACCGGGATTAATGAGCGCATGCAAGTTGGTCTCGAGAAGCGGCATGATGCTTGTGGTCTGGTTCGTAGTTGGCTCTGCGACGGGTGCACCCCGATATTGCAGGATGGCCATGTTCTGGCCACCGTCGAAAGTCGATCCCGCGGTATTTGGGAGTGCTCGTATCCAGTAATTGTCGACTGGTTGTTTCGCATTGAGAACGACAGAGTATCGCTGTCCAGGAAGTATCTGGATCGAGTCCACGAGAAGGGGTTCCGTCAGCTGACCATCCGCTTCCATGACCGTCAGGTCATGACCATCGACGGAAAAAATAAAATTGAGGCCGCAAGACATTCCTATGACGCGTAGTCGGTATCTTTTGCCGTAATCAACGTTGACCACCGCAAGTTCGGTATCAGTGGGGCCCCCTTGATATCGACCAAGACCGTTGATGAGTGTTGAATTACCGTCGACGGTGACGAAATGATTCAAAACAGGGGCAACCGTATGGTACCTATATTGATTGGTGAGGTGGATGCACGTTGCAAATAATTCTGAGATGTACCAGTCGGCAAAGGTGATCACGGTGGTCTCTGAGAATGATTTAAGTGAGCGTATTTATGACCGTGATATGATCACCGTACCATCGTCAACGTCGTACAGGTAGGATAGAGGGTCTTCGGGATCGTAGATAATCAAAGCCCCGCGCAGGCCATCACTAAACGGTTTTGGGTCACATATTGCAAAAGATAAAAAAAATAACAAACCAATATTGTGTCGAGTAGTGGCTATGATACCAGTAGGTTCCTGTCTGGTTCTGAGCCTCGAAGGAGTACAGAAATGAGTCGTTTTGCGCAATGGGGCATTGAGTAACAGATGCGACTCCATCCGCATAGTTCGTCCCATTCTGATAGATTCCGTGCCAGTGCTAAAGGGTGGGGTAAGCATGACCAAATATGAATACTGAGCTGTCGGACGTGCTCACCACACTGGTGCTTTTGAACATTGAATCGTCAGTGAGTTGGTTCACGATGTTGACCTCAAATTTGTCACCCTTCAATTATCGTCAGGTCCTGATAGCTCGATCAAATGGGCAGAAAAGCACCTTCTTGGCTGCGATGATTGGACCCGGAAATGTTCCTCCAGCAAGAGTTGAACTATAACAATGATTGTCATTACAAAACAAAACAGAAAACAGGACTCACGAGCGCGCAAACCCATCTGGAGCTATGATTTTATTAGCAATTGTTAAGCTGGTTACAGGGCCCAGTGTATGCGAACGAGAGTTGAGTGGATAGGAATGGAAGTGCGAGATGATAGATGCTGCATGCGCCGGGTGCAACAATAGAAGAAGAAAGCTCAGGAAGAACATAACGAATGAAGTATAGTGCAGGTTCAAGTCAGTTTTCAGCAGGGAGATATCCCTGTTATTTATGTAGACCCGCATCTCGACGTTGCATGACAGTGTTCAATTGAAATTAAGACACTCACCCACATAGAGTTCCGTCGAGTTCCGTAGAGTTGACAAACAATCTAGGACCACCATCGGATTCTCCTAGTCGTAGATGTCCTTGAAGCTAGCCTGCTCGAATAACATGTCCGACACTGAAAGCATCCCCTGCCAGTGAGGTCCCTTAACCTGACTGACCTTGCTCATCTGACCAGCTACCCTCATTTCCAGTGTGGGTAAAAACACAGGGAGTTGAGAAAGTCATATTACGAGAGAGCGATCAGCTGGAATCTCGTCGACCGTTTTCAAATGCACGGGTCGTCAACTTCCACCGATTACATTGCTTGATCAGGAGAAGTAGAATGGCCTGTTGTTATCTCACACGTAGCCCGATCATGAAAGTGCGCTATTGAGCACAGCTCAACCCTGTTTGCTGTCATATGCATGTGTGAGGTCAGCTGCTGCATACTGGAAACATAGTACTCGCAAACATGAATTAACCATATGCCATACGGTTTTTGTTCTCCGTCTTTGACCCCCAACTCGCCAGAGGAGGACTTTGTTTTGAATCAGTTAGTGATGTGGGGGCCTAGTTTGGGGGGGGAGGGGGGTGGCGGGTTCAAGAATCAAATAGGTCAATATCCAATCCATTATACTGTAGAGTGATTAGTTGTCATCCAACCCTTGACGAGCGAAAATACTTGCTGTCATTCTCGCTGACGTGTCAGGGGGTTGTGCGCTACGTCTTCACGCCAGACTCTTTGCGATGTGGTTCGTCATCAAAAAAAACCTAGATGATCTATAACTTCAAGACTCATCAGCACCCACAGAGATGTGCCTCCCTCGCTGAACAAACTGTAAGATCAAACAATAGCACAGATGGCTTGAATTCAATAAAGCACGAAAACCAACTGTTGACTCCCTAAAGTAAAATAGTGCTGGCGGCCAAACAAACGGCCTTTCATGCATTCCGGAATTCATCCACTCAAGGTCATTGCTGTGATGATCCTCTAAATTGTAGGGCATGCAGGCGAAGTAGAGCGCATATTCTTTGATTTTGGCTCAACACAATCTACATGACGGTGTGATCTCTCAGTCGACACGTTCGAAACACTCGGAAAAAATCATGCAAACCTTCGACGCCATAGCGCCATGGAAGCTGCAGAGGCCGACATGCTCACATGCACACTTGTGAAGAGGTTGGCATTGTTGTCGAGATTGCACAGGATCTTGAAGCATCCTTCATGTGGGCACCTCAGATCTCGACCGAGCCTCGTGATGCAGACGACTATTATGCAGGTCCAGAGATTATCTTGCTCGCGTGACGTTGCCGCTGAATTTGCGGCTCTCGAAGAGTTGAAAAGGACTGAAAAAGTTCAGAGCATTGTCGAAGTTGAAGTGCTCGAGGGAAATGCTTTTGATTTTGACGAGTTGGATTGGGTCGAGTAATACCCAAGACCGGTCACCCCCATATCACATAATCCGGACCTTATATCCCTGTACTGCCAGTAATTTGATTCCCCAGCGAGCTGCGCTTGTTGTGCCTTCGGCACAAGCCAAAGGAACGAGCGCTTCTAGTCACACAACCAATAACCTTGTGACACCCGTGACCCGATGTGACCAGTGCCAAAATCCTCATTGAATGTTTCGCAAAGTACCTCGTGCGGGTACAACATACAATGAAACAACAGTAACATATGGATTCCGGAAATGATGCATCGGTGCGAAATATGTTATAACTTTGTTAAACTAAGTGGGGTCTGTTCAGACATATGTTGTATAGGATGCATTTCTAAAGTCTACTTGTGAGCATTGCAGGTTTCTTCGACAGCACTTGAGGCTGAATGATCTGGCTTCAACAGTGATCGGTCTTTTCTTCCCTTATACGAGCCACATTCTATAATTCAAGCAGCTGGTCCTTCTAACTTGCGATGATCTTGTTCAGCCTGCTGCTAGCGATTACAGGGTAGTCGAGCTGCCGAATCTTGTCTTCAGCTCAGGGACGATATCTTCCCCAACGCCACCTAGTACAAAAGCTTTCAAGTTTCCCAATGCTTGCAGTTCTCTTGTCCTCCATGACTCTGCTGACTCTCCCCCAACATGGGGCAGAAGTGCACATCGTGGGAAGGTCAATAAGCGCGGATCTACGCGCGGTTCATCGGGGTATACATCTAAGCCAACTGATGAAAGCTGGAAGTTGTGAGAAAAGATAACAAGACGATAGAAAAAGCGTTACATGACCGTCCTCCAGTGCTCGTATCATCGCCTCTTGGTCCATTATTCGTCCTCGTGACGTATTGAGAAGAATACTACCCCGTTGCAGGGTCCTGATCTCCTTCTCTCCAATCATACCAGCTGTGGACTGGTTAAGAGGGACATGTAGGCTCAGTATGTCAACCTGCTTGCACAGCTCCTCCACGCTTGAGACATATTCGCACCACTCTGGTGCGGATTCTGCCTTCCTTCGTGAGAAGTATATGATGCGCATTGGAAAGGCGTGTGCAAGGTGAGCGAATCTCAGACCGATGCCACCTAAGCCCAAGATACCAAGCGTGCGCCCAGTAACGTCACGACTTTGTGCCGCATTATAGGGTATCTTCCATGTACCAGAGCGAAGGGATCGTTCTGCCATCGAGAAATGTCGTAGGCACGATAGCATAAGGTATAAAGTGGCAGTGGCAGTGGCATCCTCGTTCGCTCGTGGAGTGTTCGACACCATTATTCCTGGGGCAAAAACACACGTTAGCAACAGTTGATTCTGACTGAGAGCGGACATCACCTCGTTCTTTGCAGGCTTGCACATCGATTTCATCGTAACCACCGCCACTCTGAGCGATCCAGCGGACCATGCTCGTATCAGCTAGAGCGTGTATTAATGGTGCGTCAAATTTTCCTATGACTTCAGAAGATGTGTTGCGCCTGTACAAGGCGATAGTCCCTTCATACGGCCCATCGGGCCCGAATGAGGAGAGGAAATGAGAACGAGAGTCAGAAGCCAGATGCTGAAGAGGAAAAGAGACGATGATACATAAAGCTAGAGGTGCCTTGAAAGGGAAACCTACTTACTACAACTTCAGCGATCCCATGAAATATCTCCTTGACCTCGTCCTGGACATACTCAATCTCACCTGAAACACATCAGAGTCCAAATCATCACCGGATAAACCTAGAAACCGACCGCACAGTAACACGCGGGGGAGCATTTCAGTGTATGCTGTTTATCGCAAGCCTTGTAGCGGAGGACAACATTCAGGAAGCTGTTATCTTTCGTCAATCTAGCACGTGTTGAGGACATGGGACTAAAATAGCTAATCAACATACCACGAGGTCGCTCACATCCTACTCGCATTATAAAAAGCTTGAAGGTAAATAAATTTGGGCACATCCATCACATTCATATCAGACTATCGCTTTTAACGCCATTTTCGTCAGTAAGGTTTCAACCTCGTTTGGTACAAGCAGAAGGCCGCCCAGTTACTAACATGCCTACTAAAATCTACCCTCTATCATCTGTTGAAGCAACGTCAGACACATGCATCGAAGGTATGCGAACACCAGCATGAAACTTGCCAGAGCAGCAATTTTCGACACGCCTCTGATTTTCTTGCATTCCTCTTGAACGTTGTATCCATGGCTAGTGTTAAGCGTCCCAGAATCGTAGTGGCGCTTCAAGTACCTAATAAACAAAAGATGACCGGGTGCTTAGATATCATCGTCCGAGAGTGATTGAGATGAGCCTGAGAACGAACCGGAGACAAACTTCTTCCTTGAAGTCCTGGTATATCTTACGGTTACTCTTACGCTGATACAAGTCCCAATATCAAGAGTTGTTGACTACGAGAGAAGAATAGATACCTCAAGTTTTCGCGCTTCCTCCTCGTATGGGTGACTCTGGTGTACGAGGAAGTGATCTGCAAGGACATAAAACGACATGCCGGAGAGGTACATCTCGTAGAGACAAGCGGCCTTATTCCCTCCATATCCAACAAAGCGTTCATCGCACCTGGAAAGATTACATTAGACAAAGCAAGACATATTTTTGACTCGAATTTGGTTGGCACCATGGTGGCCCTTCCTTCCTGAAGATCACGTAAGGCTCGTATGCGGGGTGGTACTGCGTGACCTTATAAACTTCACCAGGGGCGGCGGAATAGAATCGCGGATAATCGGTGCTGTTGTGACCAGGAGCCCAAGTGCGATGGAACATATCGATCTTTTTCGCTTTGACCAGCGAAAGCAATGCCTAGAATAGTGCCATTCAGTGACTTCCTGGGATATATTGCTCGTCATCTAGACCTGCTTATCGCGAGGAAAATATTTCTGGTCCAGGCCATCTTGCTGTTTGATATATTCGAACGCAGGCACCACAAGAGCAGCATGTCCCTCCTTGAGAATTCGGCCAATTTTAGCATCTAGACTAGCCCTGATGGCAGAACGGAAGTTGGTGCAAATGGCAAAGTCGACGTCAAGCATCATGATAAATTCGGTACGGGCAAAGAGACGCGCAGCATTCCGCCAAGTATTCAATTGACGGTCAAAGGGCGTGAGAACGAGGTGTATGTCGACGTAGGTTGACATCGTGGGCGTTGACGCATATAGGTCATGCAAAGCATCCAGAAGGGCGTGTATTGCACTAGGTTTGACATGGACAGTTGCAGAAATCGGACCTTCGACAGAAGGAAAAAAAATGAGAAAAGATTGAAACACAAACAATTTCAAGACCGGAGCAGACCTTGGTAGTGTGTCACAAGCTCGGAAAAGACCTTGAATCGATTAAATGTGACGAGAGTAGTAACGGTAATATCGTTCTGTTCGAATGTCCCTGAAGCCCTGTAGTAGTAGGGAACCACTTTGAGAGGGTGCAGAGACTGCGAGAATGCTTTGGACAGGAAAAGATCTTCGCTCATTGGAATCCCGTCTGGTGTCCTGGCAGTTGTATGTTCGGCTAACGAGGATGCAGGCCAAAGTATCATTTCCTGAGAAGTTTTGCCAGTGACCTCGGCATATTGATAAACTTGGATAACAGCTGTATCGTAGGAGGCCATGTACGACCTCGCAAATGTCCGTAGTGGAGACAGGATGTGATTTGCTGTATATAGGACCGCGATCGCAACATACAAAGAAGTTGCCAGACGAATAAACTTGAGGCCACGGCTGAAATCTGACATGTGCCAAGCAGTAGAATATAATTGTTGCTAGTCTCCGAGTCCCTTGCGTGCAGATTGCGCGATATTGCAATGAGAGTCGACGGTAGGTTTGTTGACCGCCTACCAGCGTGTTTGTACAACGTTAACAGTTAACGTTAACGTCAACGCTCATATCAACATGTCAGTCTCGACTCACTTCAGGTCACTTGCTTCCTTGTTACTCAAACCTCCGTGAGCCACGATAGAGTCATCTTGTTGACATTACGACTCATATGCTCCGTCATGCCCTGCGTTATAGCGCAACTATTGAGGTCCTCCCTAGGCGATGCCTCCATCTGGATCCCAGACGTGGCAGAACGATCTCATTCCCCTTTTCTATTCATGGAGAATAATCTCGGTGTACCTGAGAAGAACTTCGTCGGTCATACCTCTTCGCCGTGCCTATCTTCTCTGCTGCACGTAGGGCCTCCGGACTTCATACACTCGAGAATCCATCCAACCACACCACGTCTTCGGTGATTCAAGACTTGATCGATTCTTCTGCTGTCCTCATTTTGATGAATCCGGCTCACCAAACTGCGCTCAATGCTAGAAAGAAACTTATTGTGCGGAACCTCATCAATGTGGGGCAAGAACTCAAGTTCACAGCCGCTCTACTTTCGAGCAAGCACTGTTGCAAACAGGGCGAGCTATGGTATCACAGGCGATGGCTTCTCAACGCATATACCCAATCCAAACTTTCCTCAAGGGTTGCTTGCTGATATAGTTCCTGATTCACCAAATTTCTACCTTCCCCCAAACGATCTTTCTGTGGAAATTAATCTCGTCACTAGAGCTTGCGAGTTCTATCCCCGCAACTATTTTGGCTGGACCCATCGTACTATATGCATTCGGTCTGCACTCGTACCCGGGGTGCATTCTACCACCTCAGATGTGTTCACTGAAAATTTTCCGAAAGAGATCATCAGCATCATGCAGTGGATTGAGTCTCACATCTCCGACTATAGTGCTGTTCATCACCTTAAAACTCTCGTACGTCTCACTGAAGATGCGGAAAGCGCATTCCTGCCAGACAATCTACTTCCCATAATTGGACACGCTCTCGCGCTTGTACGTGCATTTCCGGAACATGAAACACTTTGGCAGTATCTCCGCGTATTTTGGGATGAGAGGGATGTCACTTCAGCGTTTGTTGCGTCATTTGTGCTCCCCTTACAAAGTACCGGGACGGCCGAGCAGGAGAACAAGTCTCGTAGTGTGCAACATGCCTGCCACGTCCTCGAGTGGAGGAATCAGAGGTCGAATTGACGCAACTACTTGTATTGGTACTGCGCAGTACGTACTGTATATGCTGCCAACATCAGCTCATGAGAGCGAGCGCTGTTGACGCTCCGGGCCCGAGCTCAAATCAATCGCGGTTGTCTCGACGATCATGCGATTGTATTCACCATTAATTAATACCATCACACATCATCACGATAGGTTGTTATTATTCTTCGGAATTCATTAATTCCATTGCAACAAGGTTGTCTTATAATCTTCTTCCCTTCATGTGATAGACTTCTGTTGCTGACTTAATACATGCATGGCCAGTCAATATGCATGGTATGATGCTGCTGGTGACTGGTGACACTCCAGACTCTGTTATGCTTGGCGTTCATGAGAATGACTAGATAGAAACAAATGATCTAAAGCGTGAACCTATTCATGAGTTGTGTGAGTTAAGCAGAATATTGCAGGCCCTGGTCTGCATAGGTCAAGTTAAGGAATACAAACATAAGAGATAGAATATATAAAGGGATTAAAGCGGAGCTTTAATAAATGAATCGGAGATGAAAAGTAAATAGCAAATCAGAAAAGAAGAGGAATCATACGATATAATGTTATGGAATGTCTGAGAATGATTAGTAATTGTGAATAAGTGAAGATGTGAAAAAGAAAAGAGAGACTGTAACATTACCCCCGTTTTAAGGGTAGTAGGCACCAACTACTATCAAAGAAGACGATGCGATCGTTTATAGTCAGAAAGAAGTTTGGAAGCGTTACCTAGTTTGGCTTCCTTCATCCATTCATTCTCAGAACTCAGGAATCCCTTCCACTTTACATAATATTGTCTTCTAGATGAAGATCCATGGTGTCCAACAACTGCTTCAACTTCGTGTTCTTCTTCGCCATCGATGAGTTCGGGAGGTGGAGAAATAAAGTTAGGGCCATGGGTATCGTTCTCTTTATAAGGAGAAAGGAGTGCGGCATGGAATACAGGGTGAATGTGCCATTGTGCAGGTAGCACGAGTCGATAAGTTATAGGGGATAATATGTTGGTGATAATGAATGGTCCTTCGCATTTAGGAGCGAGTTTTCGGTTAGGGTATCCGAGATAAAGGTTTTTGGCTTCTAGCCATACTTTATTGCCTTTAGAGAATGGTACGAATTTGGATGTAGTTCATTAACGCATAGTGTTTCGTGCAAGTTCGTGGGTGGCTAGTGCTTCATCACGTGCTTTGTTAAGGATAGTAAGACATTGTTCAATATTAGGGATGTCGGATTTCGGATGGGTATCAGGGAGGTGATGTGGGTGATAACCCATCATGAGGTAGAAAGGAGAGGTACCATGTGCAGAATGATGGCACGAATTGTGAATGAATTTGGCTAGTGGCAACATGGGTGCCCAACTGGTTTGGTCGTTGGTACAGAAGATCCGGAGGTAGACTTCAAGTTCTTGATTTACTTGTTCGGTCTCTCCATCACTCTGAGGATGGAAGGCAGTGGAAAGGGAGTTCTTGTATCTGAGGAGTTTTCTGAGTTTGACCTGGAATCGGGAAGTGAACTGAGGTCCACGGTCAGAGATAATTTTATCATAAAGTCCGTATCTAGAAAAGATCTTAGAAAAGAAAATGTTCGCGATGCCTTCAGCGTCTATAGTCTTGAGACAAGGAGTGAAAACCACCCCCTTCGAAAGTCTGTGGTCGACCACGACCATGATGCTATTGAATCTGTCTGAAAGGGGAAGGTTGGTAATGAGATCCACTGAGCAATGAGCAAAGGGTTGGTTGGAAATAGGAGCGGGAATGGGGAAGAGTGGAGGAGTGGACAGGTGCATGTTTACTTTATTCTGTTGGCAGATGCAGCAGCCGTCCACAAAATTCTTGATGAAGGTGGCTAGTCCTGGCCACCAGTAGTCGCGGGATAGGAGTTCCTGGGTTTTAAAATGTCCAGGGTGCCCAGCGGTGGGGGAATCATGATGAAGGGAAGTGAGTTCTCATCGGAGATCTCCGGGGGGTACGTAAGTAAGTCCTTTAAATGAAAGAATTCCATTGCTCAATTTCCAATTGGAAAGAGCCAAGTGGAGTGGGGGAGGGATCAAAGGGTCTGTAAGCACTTGAAGTGCTGTGTGTACTACTGGGTCGATGGAAGATGAAATACGTAGTCTGTCCATAAAAGAGGTGTCAATGACGTTAATGAAGAGGGAGTCGGGAAGTAATTGAATACTAATATTGTCCTTTTCGACACTATTGTCTGGAAGGTGATCCATTCTATGGGAAAGAAGGTCGGGGATGATGAGTTCTTTTCCTGGTACATGTTGGATTTGTAGTTTGAATTGTGAAAGGAAGGTCTGCCACCGAGCTTGGCAGCGGTTGAGGTCTTGTATGTCTCTGAAATAAGTAAGGTTTTTGTGATCAGTTTGTACCATTATGGGGAAAGGGGATCTGAGGAGATAATGTCTCCAGGCTTTCAAAGCCTGGACGATTGCGAGAAGTTCTCGATCGTAGATCTGATAATTTCGTTCAGCAGGGTTAGATGATTGAGATAAGAATGAACATGGGAGCCAGTCCCCATTGTCATTCTTCTGAAGAAGTACTGCGCCAGTAGCATATAGGGAGGCATCAGTGGCAATTGCGAAAGGGGAGTTTTTATCGGGAATCTGTAAGATCAGGGAGGAAGTAAAGATATGCTTCAGCTTATTAAAAGCTTCCTCGCGTTCATAGGTCCAAGAGAATTCTTTGTCTTTCTTGGTTAGGTTGATCAAGGGTCTGGCAATTGAAGAGTAGTCAGCAATAAACCGTCAGTAAAAGTTAGTGAATCCGAGGAATGATTGGACTTCCTTCACTTTCATGGGAGTCTTCCATTCGGATATACCCTTTAATTTGGCTGGGTCCATGGCAATAGAACCGGGTTTAATGATCATACCAAGATATTTGATGTCGGTCACATTGAAGGTGCATTTTTTGGGTTTAAGGTGGAGGAGGTTGTCTTGGAGTCATTGGAGTACTTTGTGAGTTTGAATACAGTGAGTTTCGTCGTCTTTGGAAAAGATGAGTATGTCATCCATATATATAATAATCCATCCTTCCTGGATCATGTCTCTGAACAAATCATTCATCATAGACTGGAAGGTGGCAGGCGAATTACACATGCCAAAAAACATTACTGTTGGTTTGAAAAGTCCTCTAGAAGTGGCAAAGGCTGCCTTCCATTGGTCAGATTTTCTCATACATACGTTATTATATCCCCATCGAATGTCCATCTTGGTGAAGATTTTAGTGTCCTTTAGCTTATCTATAAGATCAGAGATTAGCGGTAAAGGGTAATTATTCTTAACCGTGTGTTCGTTCATATAGCAGTAGTCCTGGCAGGGTCGGAGGGAACCGTCTTTCTTTCCGACGAAGAAGAATGGGGAGGATTGAGGGGATTCAGAAGGGACGATTGTCCCTTTGGCTAGATGTTTGTCAATGAAATCATTCATGGCCTTGTCTTCTTTGGCGTTAAGCAGATAGATCTTGCATTTCCACAGTTTGAAGGATTCCTTGAGATCAATCTTGTGGTCATATTTGCATTCTGGGGGAAGAGTACTGTTGGCTACATCACCAAATACATCTTTATATTGTCAGAATTCCTTGGGAATGAGTTCTTCAAAAGTTTTCTTTGGTTTGGTGGCGTCCTGGGCGAGTGTCTGGGAGATATTGTCAGTTTTCCGGATATAGGTATAAAAATTGTCGTCATCGTTGATGGGATCTAAAAGATGTGGGAGAGTTTTGTTAGCAGGGTCCCACTCGTCTTCAAGTACTTCTAGAGCATCGTAAAAGATGTCTTCATTATCTTCGACTTCTTCAATAGTTGCTTTTTTCAGGGTACACTCCCTTAGGTGGACTTCTTGATTTGTCCAATCAATATCTGGGTTTTCCTTCTTTAGCCAAGTCATTCCTAGGATAGCATCTTCTCCTCCTAGAGAGGTTACAAAGAATCGCTTCCACATGGGGATATCTTTGATCAGAAAGGAAAGTTCACAGTACTGTGTTATTCTTCCAGCTTTGTTTAATGTGCCATCTACATTTCACACAGGTATTGGGGTTTCGAGTTTGTGCGTGTGAATGTTCTCTTTGAGGATAAATTTCTTGTCAATAAATTTGCCTTCTGCACCGCAATCAATTAGAGCAGCAGTGTTAAGGTCGTACTCAAAGGGTAACTGGATCTGAAGGGCTTCAGCCTCAGCTCATATGCTGTGCCCCTTACCCGAGTATTGCCCCTTATTTCAGGAAGGCAAGCCTAGCACGTCCAGAAGGTCGGACAAGTAGCGTAACGGATCCAGATGACTTCCGGATGAGGGATAAGTATCGTATGGCTAATCTGGACGAGTCCAGACTAGAAACTAACGGTAGTGGACTGTCGGGGACAGAGGCGGATATGGATAGACTATAGGAATCAATCCTAAGTCTCGGAGGGTGATGAGAGTAGAGGTACTCAAGTCCAGAGGACAGGAATGAGCAGAACTAAGATGATATTCAAACTGCCATACTACAGAAAGTTACAGGAGGTTATATACTATAGGTATCTAATGGAATGATCAATCAGCAGAGTCTGAGGCTATGTACGAAGCATGTGGATAGTCTATTGGTAAGTAGAAACGGATCACAAATCATGAAATGGAAATGAAACATAGGTAGCGGATAAGGGAGCAGGACGGATATACAGATAACCAAAATACCGGAGTTAGGGGGTTACCGAAAAGAGACGAGCACTGGTTGTGGATTTGGATGAATTGTGGACCGGACTGGATGAGTGGACAGATTGAATGACAAGATGTTGGAGGGGGATAAGATGTGGATAGCATTGGAGATAAGATGTGGATCTGAGATAAGGGTCGGATCTGAGATCCAGATATGCGGATATGACAAGCGGCTATGGTGGTTTTTTCAGTCTTCCTAGATCTAATGGTTAGTGGTAAATGGATAGAGTTAGCGTCTCCAATAGATTGTACTAAAAGTCCGATTCTGGGAGTTTCTGACACTGTGGCAGGCTCCCCTAAGCAA